TATATAGTAATAAATAACTAGAGCTTATTAATAAGCTAGTTAAGATTTATAGGAAAGTCTGAGATTATATATTTATATATTCGGAAACCTTAATAAGAAATAATAATTTTATTATAGAGAAATTTAATATTTTATAAGTTAAATATAAAACTATATTATAATTAATATAATTCATTAATTAGTAATTAAATAGTCTTAAATATTATTTTTTCCGGGAATTTAGCTATTATAAAAACTAATATAATAGTATTTCATATATTTAAATTTTAATATTCGAATCTAGGGCCTTTAAAAAAGCTATAAATATTAATATAAGCCTTTTTATATATATACTAAAAAAGCTAGTTATTATAGAAGTAGTTTTAAGCTAGTTTCTTTAATATAATAGGAAAAGCTTGCATTAGTATCTCTTATAAAAGCTCTATATATTAGTAAATATTAAGGAAAATAGTAAGTTTATAATTAAAATTACTATTAGATCTATTATATATTTATTTTTTAGTATAGATTTTAGTAATTTCTCTAATAAGTCTTATAATTAAAGATATTTAGAAAGTATTTAAATATAGTTATAGTAATAGTAATAGGGCTAGTAGAAGTAATAGAACTAATAAAAATATACTATTTATTTCTAGAGCTTCTATATTAGTATATAAATCTAGTAGAAATATAGGATATAATAATAAAGAAAATAATAGTAATATAGAAATATTAAAGATAATAGGTTCTAGGTATTTGTTTTTAGTAAGAGTAATAAAGCCTAATAGAATTAGTCTTTTAATAAGGTTTAGTCTAGCTATTATTAGATTCTTATTTATCTAGATATATTATATATTTTCCTTAATAATAGAAAATAAAATAGTTATAATAATAAAAATACTAATATTTTATTATATATATATATTATTATATTAAAGAACCTTATATAAATATAGTATCTCCGGGAATTTAAGCTTATTAAAGTTCCCTTAATAAATAAAGTTCTTGAAATTATATCTAAATAGCTTCTAAAGATTATTATTAATTATTTTATAGAAAATATATTAAAATAGCTTAGTATTTAAGAACTCAGATATCTTATAGGCTATAATAATATCTAGATTAATTTCATATCTCTATTTTATTACTATTTCCTTAAAATTATTAGTTTCTATAAGTATAAAATAATTGAATTAGATAGATCTAATAAAGGAATTATTTACTATAATAGGTTTTACTATTATATATTCTATAAGCTTATACTTAGTTCGAGGTATAGTAATTTATAAAGAGAATAAATTCGTAAAAAGAAGAATAATTCGTAAAGTAGGTAAGTAGGAGTTATTATATTTGAGGTAAAAATTTCATTTATAATAAGAAATTTAGGAAGTGAAATTCAAGAAGTAAAATATTGAGATTCCGGGAAAATTTAATAGTCCTAAAGCTTAAGAGCCCCAGATATTTAGGTAATTATAAAAAAAGTAATTTTTTATAAAGAAAGTAGTTTTATAAAATAGTTAGATAATTAAATAATTAATTATTTAGTAATTAGTAAGAATTAGTATCTTTTCTTCTTATAGAACCGAATTATAAATAAAGGTAACTATTATTTCTTTTCTTTAATATAGCTTAGTTAGGCCTTAGTAAGATTAAATATCTTTCTTTTCCTATAAAACCAAATTATAAATAAAAATAATTAATAGTTATTTTCTCTTTAATATAGAATAATAGCTTTATTTCTAAAGAACTAAATCTTAAATAAATATAGCTTAATTCTTCTTATTATCTAATCTATATATATATAAATAAACCTTATTTTAATTTAAATATAAACTAATTAGTATTAGTTTACTAGTAATATATAGTACTATTATATAGGTATAGAAATACTAGTTATATTAGTTAGTAAAGTTATTATTTAGAAATAGGAATTATAGTATTATAGTATTAATATATAATCCCTAAATTTACTAAGCCTAAAGAGGTCTAGTTTACTAGTTAAGTTACTAATAGGATATAAGGTTATATAATTATATCTCGTATCTTATATTTTATTACTTATATCCTATTATTTATATCTTATATCTTATAATTATATATATAATTCCTAAAGAAATAACTATACTAATAATTACTTTAATCTAAATATAATAATAATAATATTAGTTATAGCTACTATAATAAGGGCAATATAAATACTATAGCTAATATAGGCCCAAATTACTAAAGAGTTAATTATTAGAGATATCTAAATAAAAATAGCCTTATAATTAATTTAGAAAATAATTAATATATCCTAAATATAGTAATTATATCCTAAACTAATTATATTCTATAAATTTGCTTTTATTTAGGAATAATAAAGAAAGCTTATAATATTTACTATAACTACTATTATAAAAGAACTAAAAAATATATATAATATACTAAATATATATTTCTAATATTACTTATAAATCGCTCGAATAATAGGTTTGGGATCTAGAGTTTAGGGATTAAATATATAGAAAGAAATATAGATTAGAAATAAGAAAGTAATTAGAAATATCTAGAACTTTATAGAAGTAAAGCCTATAATTCCAGGAGAATTTATAATAATATAAAAATTAAATACTAAAAAAAGTATTAAGAAAATTATAGAAAGCCTTCCCGAAAAATAAAGAACTTTCTTAAAAGTAAAGATATAGAACTAGATCTAACTAGCCTAATCCCGGCTAACTTTATTTTTAGATATAAAATAAAGAATAAGAAAGAAAGCCCCTAGATCTAGGAATTTATAAGAATATATAAGATACTAATAAATTAAAAGCTCTCGAGTATTAATTTTAGTAATAGAATTACGAGATTACTTATAGTACTATAAAGGCTAACAGGAATAATAAAATCCCTGAAATAGCTATAAAAGGCTATAAGTATTAAGTTTAGGGTCCCTAAAGCAAGGGATTTAATATAGTACTTTCTATATAATAGAATAAGAATAAGAAAGAACCTAAACTAGCTAGTAAAAGAACTTTAAATATATTTAATTTATAAAATAGATCTAATAATAAAACATATATAACTAGAATATATAATTATAAAAGTTATCTAGGAAAAGCTTAACTTAATTCTAATGAGTCTAAGAAATATAGAATAAGAAATAAGACTTATTTCCTTAAAAATAATTAATAAACTTATTATTTTTATAGCTTTTAGCCTATTCCGGACTAAAGATCCCGAAAATAGAAAATAAAAGATTTTTTATTAAACTATAGTATAGTATATTTAGAAGAACTTCCTATTATATTTCTTTATATCTAACTATAAATTATAGAAACCAGATATGGCCAGAAATAATTATAAAAAGGTAATTAAGAACCAGGTCCTAGTAAACAGGGCAGCTTATATACTAGAGAGATACCAAGATCGGGAAATAAATCTAATAAAGTTTAAAGAAAGGTAAGAGAAACCCCTATTATAACTAAGTATTATTTATGGACCAAGGTTCCTGTAAAGACTCCCGAGTATAGGAAAGGAAGACCCTGAACCTGAGGCGGACGGGATTAATTATCTGGGACCGGATAAAGATATAGAATGGGAAACAGAATCAGAATAGAAATATTAGGTATTAAGGTTATATGAGATATGGCAGACCGAGAGTATGACTTCTCCCTACTATATGGAGTCGAGACCTGCGCTTGGCCAGCCGTTAAACTAAAATAAAGGGTGCGAGTAATCTAGTAGGTCGGGTTCGATTCCCGATATCTGGCTCCTGGTGGCATAATACCTCCCCCTGGCTCGATCTTAGTCATTACACAACTATGATTAGCTAAATAATAAACAACCTAAAGCTGGATTAGAATACTGGCTAGTAATCTAATTTATTCATTAAAAATACCCACTAATTATATTCTAATCAGATTCTAATTGAGGTAATCATGAATATTCATGAATACTTTGATTACTACACACGTGACTGTCTCACGTGATATACTAACCTAATTAGGTATGGCTCCCGATCTAGTATCGTCTTTGGAAGGCTTTCGACCCACTAATTAGGCAGCGAGGTGGCGCTAAGGAGACACTAGAGCGGGATCTCTACTTAATTAGGCTAGAGTATCACGTGATATAGTCACGTGCAGAGTAATCAAAGTATTAATGAATATTCATGATTATATATTCTAATCTAATCAAATTATTTAAGCATTGCGGTAATTATATTCTATTCAAGCTAATCATGAATATTCATGAATATTCGGAATACCTTGATTACTTTTTTGACACACTGCTACCATCACATCGGCGTTTTATGGTTGGTCGTTTTGTACCTTTATTCTCATGAGGTTTATGTATGTGGAAGATACCTATAACATAAACCTTCGAACTTACTCTTCTATGCTCACCGCTGAATATCGATAGGTGTATGCGGCAAGTGTGCTGGCAGGAACATGCTTCTCACGCAACTTGGTAGGCGGCGTTTTCCCCCTCTTCCGTATGCAAATGTTCGAGAATCTGGGTTACAGGTGGGTGGGCTCCTTGCTTGGGTTCCTGGCACTTGTCCTCATGCCCATCCCTTTCGCATTGTCCCACTGTGGAAGAAGGTTGAGGCAACGGAGTCTGCGGCTGAGAGAACGTATGGATGATCTTTAAGACGATTAGAAGGAAGCAATGAATGTCACTACCAGGACTGCCTCGAGCTAATTAAAACTCGACCCACCTTCGTAGTCTCTCTTTGCTGGATAATGTTAATCATCTCTATCTCATCTTGTGTTGCTCCTGATCACTCGTGTCGCTAACCAAGGGGTGAGAATAGGGATGATTCAAAGCTGGAACTTTCCATCGCCATTGAATCGCCCCCTTTTGCACTTGCGAATACTAAATAGAAAGCCTAAAACAAGTACAATTACCGTTACACCAATCCCCCCTTCTGGGACTTGGAGGACATAGTCACGTGCAGAGGCTCACACTTTCACATGCCATGGCTATTGGTTCACATGCAAAGCGACAAGGATCTTGACGCCTATTCTCAACATCTTCACCCACTTTCTACCACATGTGTATGAATTTGCCTCCTGCTCGCTCCGACAGTCCTTACTTCTTATACAATACTGACATATGATTCTTCGACGTTCAAATAAGCCTGTACCTTCCTACAATGTTTTCGATATAGCTTCTCTCCGAGTTGCTCTATGAGCTTTCGATTCTCCTCCCTTTATATTTCATAACTCTCGCCGGCGATTACTCACCAAATATTACCTTCATCCACTCGTCTGGTCCCGAAGCACGTACGCAAGGGTTATTATCGACATGGCACAGATGCGCCAGCGTAATCATCCAGCTGCGATTCGAAATCGGCCCATCACCGCCGAATTTGCGCCTCCAACGAAAGAAGCATCAATGCTTTACTCCATGCTCCCATCTGCTGTCCAATCCCGATTACCCCGCCTTCCTTCACTCCGCCGCTCCGTTTCGATGTATGGTTTGGTGACTAGACGCAAATCTGCAGACTCGAGACATGCGTCTGGGGCTCGAACGCCAGAATACGCATCTGCGATTGTGTTGAGTGGCGCTGCAGCTTTGAATAACGAGGAAGACATTGCGCGGTATTTTGTGGAGAGCCTTTCGACTTCGAGTGATGAGGATATGCTGCAGACGAGTACAGGCAAGGGAAGGCAGACATCTAGGTTGGAGCTGACGGAGAGCAGAAGCGGGATAGGTTGGAAGTTTGCAAATCAAGGTACGCGATCCTTGTTATTCTTTTAATCCTTACCAATTAGAATTTCTAGGTCTCAATCTGCTCAGTCTGGCCGTCGAAGAATCCTCTGCAATATCCCAAGCCGCGAGATTTGGGAACGCAAATTTTGCGAGACAGGTCTACCTCCACGCCCTCACCTACCTTCTTCAAGGACTACCTTCGGATATGTCGACTGAAGAACAATTGAGTATTCGGGGTGCTCTACCACCCGGTGTGGTGGACCCTCTGCTTTTCAATGTCAACCCGGGGTACAATGCACACATTGTCTCCCCTCCGAGCGACCAACCATCACTCTTACATCGTACACTTGCTTCCACGATCGTCCAAGTTTTCATACTCTTCCAATTCATACTCCCGTATCTGAAGTACCTCCTCAGTGCTGCATATCAATATGATCGGGAACATAAGATCTCGGAGAAGCTATTCAGTCAGGGGATCGAGACGGTGGATTCCCTCGGTAAGACGGGGATGAGCTTCACGAGTGCAATTTATGGGATGGGGGATGGCAAAGTGGGGAAAATGATTACCCAGACCGCTGCCTGGTTTTTGGAAGGCATTACTGGTGGTATTCATGAGGGTGTTGGGGAGGGGATGGTGATTATAGGGGCTGCTCCGAGGAGATCACAAGGAGTAGTGAGGAGATAAGCCGCGGTTGTATTTGATGAGTTGATGGTGGACGATGATTGATGATTTCCGGAACGATTTTGATGGCAGCGCTGCATTTTGCTTGGTGATACCCAAGATAGATGACGTTTTGAGGAGTTTATAGATTTGGGTATGCGGTCTTAGAAAGAGATATTGACTTTAAACAAATGAGCACACTTAGAAAAGACAGCCATTCTTCACTCATATAGTAGAAGTGAGACATCCCACAGGTCAGTAAATATTCGAATAGGGGTGCTGTCACGTGCCTTAACCTTAGCTTCAAAAAAAAAAGTTCCATGACAATCTCACGAGATTTTTTTTAGCAACTCCAGTTCGCGATTTTCATCCACATTCCTTCTGGTATTGATTCCACTCTTCAATCTCGCCTATTTTAATACATTTGTTCTCATTGGACTTTTGGTCGTTAAAGTCGACGATGTTCAACCTCTGCAGAAGAGGCCCAGCCTCGATTTCGAAAGCTATTCGTGGAGCAGCTCCTATAACACGAATACCATCCACGAGACCATCAACACTATGTCTAGCAGTCCAAAGCTCTGTGAAGCCAGCGATTGAAGCGCGATGGCTCCATGTATCGTCTACGTTGACGAATCAGGCCGGTGCTGCAAGAAGTTCGCAGCGGTTTGCTGAAGATGGTTCGATCGAGCAGCCAGCATCCTTCAGGGAGATCACCAAGTTCCAAGAATTGGTTGAGCATGATATGGTACATCCAAATATCATCGCTGAGATTACCAAGGGCATGGGTCATCATACCATGACGGAGGTGCAGACAATGACAATCAATCAGGGTTTGCAAGGTACCGATATGTGAGTGCACCTTATCATAACGGTCAATGATCTACTCTGACTGGATTCAGTGTTGCGCAAGCACGAACTGGTACAGGTAAAACGCTTGGCTTCCTCATCCCGACTATCCAGAACATCCTCCGAAAGGATCCTGATCTTGCCACCCGACAGCGATACTCCAAAGCCAGAGCCTCCGATATCCGAGCAATCATTATTTCTCCCACTCGCGAATTGGCGGAGCAAATTGCTGTAGAGGCAAACAAGCTCTGCTATAATACAGATTTGAGAGTTCAGGTTGCAGTTGGTGGCAATAGCAAGAGACTAATGCTTAGAAAGACCCAATACGAGGGATGCCATTTGCTCGTGGCGACTCCTGGCAGACTGACTGATCTCCTGTCGGACGAATATAGTGGGGTTCAAGCACCCAATTTGACGACTTTGGTTCTCGATGAGGCTGACAGACTTCTGGATGATGGATTCTCCAGGGATATCGAGGAAATTCTCGCCTTATTGCCCAACCGCCAACGTGTTGATCGCCAAACGCTCCTCTTCTCAGCGACTATTCCCAAGGAGGTCATGCATCTGGTTCGACGAACATTGAAGCCCAATTTTCACTTTGTTCAAACGGTCAAGGAAGGTGATCTTGCGACTCACGAGAAGGTCCCTCAGTACATTGCTGTAACTCCGGGAATGGAAAATCATATGCCAGCTCTATTGGAATTATGCAAGCGCGGAGTTGCGAAAGCAGCACAGGACGCCGAGACATTAGGACTCGCGGCCAAACCTTTCAAAGCAATCGTCTATTTGTCTCAAACAACTCAAGTCCAACTTGCTCACCAAATCTTCAATAACCTGAAAAGCGAAGATGGTGGAATGTGGGGAAAGTACCCTTTGTACCCAGCTGAGATTTCTCTGATGCACGGCCAACTCACTCAAATGGAGCGTACCCGAGTATCCGAACGTTTCCGCAAAGCGAAGTCCGCAATACTCTTCTCTACTGATGTGACTGCTCGTGGTATGGATTTCCCCAATGTCACTCACGTCATTCAAGTTGGTCTACCTCCTAACAAGGAGCAATACATCCATCGAATCGGCAGAACAGGACGAGGAGACAAGGCTGGAGAAGGATGGATAATCATCAACCAGGCTGAGGTTAGGGAAGCACGACAAAGACTCCGTGGCTTGCCAATTACGCCTGACAAGAGCTTGGAAGCTGCTCAACTGGATATGACACAAGATGCCCAGTTGCCAAAATCCTTAGCGAGGACCTTGAGCCAAGTCGCCGCCGCAACTAGGATGGTCGACCGCCGCTTGAAGGAAGCGGCTTATATAGCCTCTTTAGGACACGTCGCGCGAAATCCCGGACTGCTGGAAGCTCTGAATCAGTTGACTAGATATGGCTGGGGTTATGAGAAGCCTCCGCCAGTCTCTCCGCGTCTGGCACAGAAGATGGGGCTGACAAGAGTTCAAGGAATGAACATTGTGGAACGTGAGCGAGACAACTTCGATGATTTCGGTAGCCAGTTCGGTGCGAGAGGTGGGGAAGGTCGCAGTGGATTTGGAGATCGATCTGGCGGATTCGGCGGCGACCGAAGACAGGGAGGTGGCTTTGGAGACCGCGGAGGACAAAATGGTGGATTTGGAAACAGATCAAGTGGCTGGGGTGGAAGAACTGGTGGATTCGGTGGAGACAAACGCGGAGGTGGACGTGGGGGAGCGGAATCGAGATTCCGCGAGGAGGCAAGCTTTTAACGAACTACCTTTTGTTGCTTGTGTACACCAGGCGGCTGACTTGAGTTGGCTCTGTTCGATTTTTCGTTTGTGGGTGTATAAAACGAGCAAGGAATGTATGAATAGTGAGATGGCGTTCAGGGCCGCTGGCATCGGTTGGGTAGATCATTGCAGAGCGTTCTGGGTATTTAGGCAAAGGGGTTTCTGCTAGAAGTCCTTTGTCAAACTAGCACGACAGCAATTCAACTCTACTTTCTCCAAGGTCTGTTGACCAAGCCGCACCTCATTTCTTCAAGGGATGGATGAATCGTTCTTCGGGATTACGTAAAGACAAGACATTCGGATCTTACAGACTAAGTATCAGGGACAAATGGCGACGTCAATCATCCCCTCAATCATCCCTCTCACTTTACGACAAACGTCGCCAACGCTCCAAGCCGGCAAAACCATATTTCCTTGGCTTGTTACAGTAATTGGTTATGCAGACCCTGGCCGCCTGACCCCCGGTCTCCCCGACTTCTTGATCCCCATATTTACGCTAAGTTTGCAAATTCATCCGGCTAGGTACGAGAAACCTGTTGGTGTCTGGTGATGGAGAAACGTTTCTACGTGTTCGGAACTCTGCTTACCTCACAACAATTACTCCTTTCTCTCCACTGAAGTTGTAATCTGAAACCAAATTCAATTGGACACTTGAGGAGGGAAGTGTCTTCCCCTCAATGATGGCAAAACAGGCAACCGAAGCCACAATATCGCAGAGAGGAGGTATCGAGGGTTGAAGTTTTATCCATGAAGCGGCGCAGAGAGAAAAGTCTTACGATGAAGATTGAGCCTGCGCTTGTTTCACACGCCAACGTGTTGGAATCGGGACCGCAGCTTGCGGTGCATTGGAGAGAGTGACAACTCAGATCCATATTGCCCCCCGCTCAGTTGGTGATGATCTCAACCTGACGGATGAAGTCTTCTTTCCCACCAGAGAATTGTAACATGTCTCACTGTCCACTTCGTTTGCTGTTTCCCCGCGTGAGTTTTGTCAATTGAATTCTCGTTGTACTGTACTTACCAAGCGGTCGAGTCAAGATGCGTTTTCAAGCTCAAGTCCTCGCTGTTGCGGCAGCTGTCCCTCCCGTTTCTGCGCAGCTCAATGATCTTGCGAAGGCGGCTGGGAAGCTGTATTTTGGGACCGCGACGGATAATATGGAGTTGAATGTCACAGAATAGGAAAAGAGCTTGTCGAACACCAGCGGGTTTGGCCGGTTGGTACCGTCTAACAGGATGAGGGTGCATCTTTTCAGCACCAATGCATTGGATTGGAGAATACACAAGAAGGAAAGAGCTGATGAATGAGGTAGTGGTTCGCAGTCGAGCCAGAGCAGGATGTCTTCAACTACACAATAGGCTCAGTAGTTGCGGAGCTCAAAGAAGAACGGGCAACTTCTCCGCTGCCATAATCTAGTCTGGCACTCCCAGCTGGCCCCATGGGGTATATATATCCCCCTCCCCACCGCCCCTCCGACTGTCAATCCCCTCAACCAGCTAATCTCTCTCATCTCAGTCGACAATACTACTTAGACGAAGGAAACTCTCACTACAGCTCTCATCAACCACGTCACTGACGAAGCAAAGTACTGGGCTCGCCAATGTTACGCCTGGGACGTGCTGAACGAAGCCCTGAACGACGACGGTACCTACCGTAACGATACCTTCCTTACCTTCCTCGGGCCCTACTACATAAAAATCGCCTTGAAAGTCGCAGCAGCAGCGGACTCCCACGCCAAGCTTTATTACAACGACTACGGCATCGAGCATGTGGGCAACAAGCCAAATGCCGCGAGAGCCAACATCATCAAGTTCCTACAAGATGATGGGATCAAGATTGACGGGGTTAGACTGCAGAGCCACTTTACGGTGGGCAGAAGTCCGAGTCTGGATGAGCAGATCGCGGATATGAGGGAGTTTGCTGATATGGGTTCGGACATGGCGGTTACAGAGCTGGATGTTAGGTTGTTGGAGCCGGAGAATAATACGAATTTAGCGAGCCAGAGTGAAGCGTATAAGAATACACTGGAGCATGTTTGCAGGTTGGTGCTTGTGTTGGTATCACTATTTGGGATTTCTATGACCCTGTGAGTCCAACTTCCACGTTCTTGGAGTTGAGGGAGGGGAGAGGGAGCGGAGAGGGAAGCTAATGAGATGGTCATAGAACTCCTGGACACCGGGTGTTTTTGCTGGATATGGAAGCGCTGGGCTTTGGTTTGCGAATTTTACGAAACATCCGGCTTACCAGGGGATTGTGGATGCATTTAAGAATGGGACAGTGACAATCACGAGTCCGGTGACTGTTGGGAATGGGACAGATGATTTGGGGGAGATGGTTCGGACAACCCGTATGATAATGGGGATGCCGACGAGGATGATGAGATGATGGAGACGATGGAGATGATGGAGATGATGGAGGTGATGGAGATGATGGAGCTGATGATAAGTAAGTTCTGTTCCCCATTGCTGGGCGTTTCATGATTTGCTCCCGAGACAATATCCCACTTGTTCTGGCACATTTACTCGACAACGCCCCAGTGCTCTTAGAACATTATTACTGAGCAACTGCTAAATCTGCTTTTACCTAGGGATGATGATTCACCACATCACCATGGCTGGGGCGGGGATGGGAGTAGGCATGGGTGGGGAAGGAATGGTGGATGGGCAAGCATGGAGGATGGTAAGTGTACCAGTATTAAAAGGAACAATGTGGTAATGGGGTGGTGATAGTTCTGGTATCAAATGGACCAATGAGTAGACAGAAAGTTCATTCATTCGAATTATTTTCTATCTAATGTATAATGAACCATGTATGCAGCTTGCCGCCCTTATGTAAAAGGGTGATCGTTCCATGATTGCCATCTACATTGAACGCCAGAACGCCTATGGTATCATCTCATCATTATTAACGCCATTTTTGTCCCATATGCAACATCTCCAAACGCCAGTTATGCATTGTCCAGAAGAACGAGGAATCTTGCTTTATGGTCCGTAGCTGTGAGGTGCCATGACTGTGCGGACATCCCAAACCAAGACCCGGGAGTCCCAGGAAGTAGATGCAACCCAGCCTTCGGCTCCAAACAAACACCAATCTACGCCAGTAGCGAACTCAGTGTGTGCCTCCATGGATCCGAGCTCACGGGGGCCGCGAATGCCAGGGTGAGAACCATACGAGCCAACTGCAGTGCCATCGGACCAAACTTTAACGGACATGTCGTAGCTACCGCTAATGAGGACATCACTAAGGTGCGGGGACCAGGCAAGCTTGCGAACAGCGTACTCATGGCCTCTCAAGAGAGCAACGGGTTGACGTGGATTGCGAATATCAAAGGTGCGGATGATCGAGTCAACTCCTCCAGTTGCCAGAATGGTATCACGGTATTTGTTCCAGTCGTGGGTAAGGCACTCGGACGGTTGGGTTAGAGGTGGGCGGTTCGTGGCGAAGGTTGAGCCAGGGACCGGAGCAGCCCCGTGAATCGGGATCAATTGAACCAAGTGGTTAGAAGCAGAAGCGGGGGTTCTAAGATCGAAGATGCGGATGTGGCTGTCTGAGGTGACAGAGGAGATGATAGACGGAGAGTGAGGGGAGAAGGCTGTCGAGTAGGTGCAAGAGTGAGTAGGCAGAGTGAGGATCGAGCTTGGACGTTGAGGAGACCACTGTCAAGTGCTGTTAGCAATGTCTTTGATCAAAGCGCGGGGGAAACACGGGTAGACGCGTACCAGCTTAATGCTACCATCCCAAGAGCTTGTGGCGAAGGTATCCTTTGTGATCAGGTTCCATGAAGTAGCATAAACCTCACGACTATGTTCATGCCAGTTTTGGACAGGGCCATTGCCAGCACCAGAAAGGTCGAACAGCTTGACTGAACCATCTCCACAGCCAACTGCAACTTGATTTTCATTCAACTCGGACCAAGCGGTATCGTAGATCGCGTCTTGGGTGTCGAATCTGCTCGATCTGTTAGCTCTTTCCCCGGATTTGCTACCCCGGATTGCTGCACTGTGGAATCCGGGAGGGAAGAGCGAAGAGCAAACTTACTGCTTGAGAAGGACGATGCCGTTGGCAGTGAGACCAAGGATATACAAGCGTCCATTACCGACCAAGCCAAAGTTGGCAGAGGTTGCGACCGCAAGACGATCATTGACGAAAGGCGAGTATTTAACGGCATAGCCATTATAACCCGCCGTGAGGAACTCCATCATGGCGCTGATGAAGGTTGCTTGTTGGATGTGGTTCTTGTTGTTTTCACAAGATCGGCTTTTGACAGCCGAGGTGGCAGAACTGCAAGTGCAAATCGTTTGTGGCAGGCGGTGTGGGGAGAGTTGTGCTAAGCTCGGTGTTGAAGGTTTTCCTATGCCGGAGCCAGGCTTTAGATTGTACACTTGTTTTTTTTTTTTGACAGACTTGTCATCATGGCTTTCAAAACTCAAGTGATTTGAACTCGGCCCTCTTGCTTGCAAGCCAAAGCCAGTACAGAGAGGAGCTCAAAGGGCATATGACCCTTGCTAACCTCTCTCGATTTGGCTCAGCTCTCTCTGCTGCCCCTGTGGTTCCCGATTCTCTCCTTCTCCTGTGCTGCGGATTGTATCTTGGAGACCTAGACGCCTTGGTTTGCTGCTACTTGAACTTTCAATCGCTCGACTATGATCCCCTTTCAAGCAACTTCTAGTTGACAATTACTATCTGCCAAGCTCTTCATTCTTGTGTAGCGTGGGGTGCTCATACTCCGCTCTCTGAAAGACCCCTCTTGCCCGAGCCATTGCTTGTACTAAAGTACATCCTCTCGCCATTGTGTTCCTTTGTTATCTCACTTTCTGTCCCTGTTCATATGGGAAAGCTGTGTCGCAATATTCTCCCACAGAGTCCCGTTCCTCTCCCGGCACGGTTGACCAATTTCCAAGGATGGAACTCGGGATTCCGGTCACCTTGTTGCAATACCAATCCATCATTTATAATCCAAGAATATATTCGGATTATTAGGCGGTATGAGACGCTCAAATAAAAGCACAAGGCTTTTTGCCAAGCTAATTGGTGTAAAATACAAACACATTTGATAACACCAGCATCCCTTTGATATTTCCATTCTAGCTCAAGTCGAACACTTTCATCATGCCAGAGTCTTCTTCAGAGGCCCAGCTCCAAAGCCGCTGCTAGGCAGACACCGTGTTCTAAGACTTTCAATTTCAGGCCGAGTTAGCCCTCTTCTCCCCGGGACGATGAACTTTGGAACATAGTGGTCTACTCACTAGGTCCCACCTCAACTTCCGCATTCTTCAGAAGTCGTTAGTATCATTGCTAAGCTTCAAATTCAGGAATCAATACATGGGAGAACTCAGCAAAGAGACCGCCTTCCAGACACTAGATCTCTACCACTCACAAGGCGGCAACTTCATCGACACAGCAAACAACTACCAAGACGACGAGATCGAAGAATGGCTGGGCGAGTGGCTCTCAACCCATAAAAACCTGACGCAAGTGCAGAATGCGCTCTCTGAGGAGCATATATTGGGTGCTCCGGAGAGCAATGTAGGGGTGAAACATGCCCAGGAGCTATGCCCCTAATCACGTAACACAGACACCCAGAAGGCACTGGGGGCCTCAGTGCCATGCAACAAAACCGCAACGGGATTGTCCTCGCCACAAGATTCTCTGGAAACCATATCCTGCCACACGCCAAAGAGGGTACCATCCTTTCAAGCTACGGCCGCAACATCAGTAAAGCGCTCCTCTTCACCGTGCACAACTCGCTCGCTAAACTACGAACCAACTATCTGGACATTCTCTACGTGCATTGGTAGGACTTCGTGACTTCACCCGCGGAGCTGATGACCTCGCTGAATCGGCTTGTGGTCACCGGGACCGTCTTGTATCTCGGCCAAAAAGATATGCCAGCTTGATTCGTAGTAGAGTGAAATGCATACACGCGGCAGTTCAACACGATGCCGTTTGTAATCTACCAGGGGCGCTGGAGCGTTGCGGACCGCGAGATGGAACGCGAGATATTGGCGCTGTGTGAAGCTGAGCAGATGGCAGTTGCCCCGTGGGAAGTTCTTGGTGGAGGCCGCTTCAAGACCGCAAAGCAGGTCGCCCAGCAGAAAGAAAATGATTCGAGGATGGAACATCATCCTGGCAGGGCGAAGACATTTGACCAGGTGGGAACGGTGATGTTGAGTAGTGCGGAGGAGAAGGGCACGGTGCCGACGAGTATTACGTTGCTTATATGATGAGGAAGCAGGCCAATACTTTCCCACTCATTGACCGGAGGAAGGTGGAGCATTTGAAGGCTAACATTGAGGCGTTGAGTGTTGTGTTGGATGAGGAGGATTTGAGGGATATTAGAAGGCGGGTGACTGGTCACTTGGGTTCACGTATGGCGTTCTTGCCTTTGGCGGAAATGGAAGGGAGTTGAGGATCTTGCTATTTTGACGCGTACGTTTGATTATGTGCCAGAGGCTATCCGGCCCAGAGTGGAGTAGGGGTGATGGGGATAAAAAGTTGAAAGTGGGAGACTCCTTCTCAGATTGAAGGAAGCCGCCGGAGAGCCTTGTATGCTAAGTACTGTACATAATACTCAAACATTGAATTGAGTTGAATGTTTCCTATCAGCTCTTCATGCATACCACCCGTAGTAAATTTTTAGAATGGTGAAAACCATATTTGCATACCGATTCAGGTGATTCTCGCGGGCAGGCAATACAGGAGGAAATCTTCAGAGTGTTCAAGCAGATGAAACACGAAATCAGAAACCTAGCAGCCGGGTAAGAACAGGTCGAAGATCCCTCAGTGCCAACCTTCGAGGTTTGTGATCGCATACAATGAGGAGTTAAAGCATCGTGACGGAGTGCGAAGCAGCTTGCCCCCCTCCCCCCTCCCCCCTCCCCCTTTTATGCAGCCTCGCTTGCGTGGAGTTCCGAGCCCTCGCTGCCATGAGGCGCTTGCTTCACTTACAAATACAATGCTGCTTGATAAAGACACACAAAACAGAGAAATGTTATAAAACAACAGAATAGGGGGCCAGATTTGGTGTTGAAGTTGAAGTAGTTCTGATTTAGAAAGTGTGAGAAGCTGTAGTCTGGGTGATCCTACTTAAGCCCAAGGTGCTCTAGTCGCAGCGCATTTCACTCGGATTTAAAAGTTCGAAAATAAGCAATTCAACCAGAATGGAATTGAGTTGGATATTCAATTGCCCCTCTTTTATTTTGATACTTTTCTTTTTATAAATTTTTGTATTACTCGGACTCTTTGAAGCATTCCAAATACGCTGGCAGGGACTACCTGGGGTTAGCTTAATATACCTGCGTAGCACTGGCAGTATCAGAGTTCCAAAGCTACACCCTTAAGGTGGAATGAAAGGTAATTAATTGAGTATCGAGCACATCTTTGCTTTAATAATACAAATCCACGCTTGTGATATGGTATGGCGGAATGTCTCGCTCAGGGTTTGCGTTCCTCGCATAGATGTCTCATTGTTCTCCTCTGCCCAGCCTACCTTCCCTCGAACTAAATCGTCGTGTAGACAGAACCGTGTCGAAAACTAGCCCCAACTTTCTGACTGCTTCGTTACTAATTTGGTAATGAAACACAATACGCCCTCCATCTAATTTGACGCCAAAATTTCTCCCAATTTCCGCAAAATCTTCATCGGAAATCCCAGCACTGGTCAGGTCGACCCACACCAAATTTGTTTCGGTCCTTCTCCGCAGCAACCCTCCCCTCTTAACCCACATTTCCGTAGCCTTTCTAGCAGTATCATGTGCATCTCTCAGCTTGCCTCCCAAATTCGTTCCCCAAACACCTGGTCCAAAAGTGTCATCAACCGCTGCCCTTGCCGCCGAGCTCAGCACTCCTGCCTGCCTCATACCACCTCCCATACCCTTCCTAATTCTCCTCGCTCTAGCCACAAAACCGCTATTTCCGACAACAATCGCACCCATGGGTGCCCCCAAGCCCTTCGAAAGATCCAGAGATACACTATCAGCACACTGTGCAAAATCTCTCAGGCTTCCTGCACCCGTAGCCACAGCCTCCCAGAGTCTAGCACCATCCATATGTACCTTCAATCCGTTCCTCCACGCCCAGTCGGATATCCTTTGGAGCTCAGGGAGGGGATGCACGAGGCCTGAAATCGTGTTCTCCAAGCTCATGACGGTAGTGGGGCATTTGTGAACATCGTTGCTCAACACTGCTTTTCTTTGGATATCCTCGAGCGTAAGGAATTCCCCGTTGCCAGGCATAACGCCTTGGATCATTGCACCGCATAGACTGGCAAGCCCGCCGGCTTCCCAGTGGATAATGTGAGACCGGGTGTCACAGAGCACTGCGTGTGGTGGCTGTGTGAGGTGGGTTCTGAGCGCCAGTTGGTTTGCCATTGTGCCTGATAAGACAAAGATGCCTGCTTCGTGGCCAGTAAGGTTCGCTATGTACTGCTCGAGGGAAGAGGTAGTGAGGTCTTCTTGGTAAACATCATCGCGGAGGGTGGTTTTGAGAATTGCACGAAGCATTGAGAGGGTGGGAGTAGTCACTACATCACCTAATAATTGAAAATAATTGGAATCAATATATGAAAATAGATGGTGGAACAAGATAGAAGGAATGTAAACATACTTCGAAAATCAAACTCTGCGGGTCCAGGTCTGTTCCAGGAAATAGAAGTTAAACGTAAGAGGGAGAAGACATCATCCAACTTGTCCTGGTCAGAGTCCACTTGCTTTCTCGTTAAGGGTGCCGTTGCAGCTTGGGTACTATGGAAACACAACAATGGAGATTGCAAAACTTTTCGCGAAAGTGGTTGAGCTCGACACTGGCGGAAGTAAGGCAGAATATTCCTCCTGAGAGGATGTGGACATGACGCCATGGTTTGGGGGACATCCCGTGTTGGAATAGGACAACCTGGTAAATTTTAGGTCACCAAGGGAGTATTTGTGGAAGAAGGTTGATAAATTAACAACACTTGATGGCTCCTTCCACCCTTCGTTCCTGGTATCACTTGCAGTAGTGAAAATAACTAATACTTGGTCAAAATGCTTTAACCAAGTGAACAGTTCTTCAACGAAGTCTAACAGAAAGCCTTGCCTCCTGGCTACATCAATACCCTTACAGTCTACTTTATTAAAGTAGCACCAACGCAATCCCCATCGAGTGGAACTCGCTTGAGTCACTTCATCCTTGGAAAATTCTCAGGAGGGCGGGGGTCGTACTCGTAAATTACAGCAAATCGGGAGTTGGAACCAGACTCCTAATCACACACGCCTTGCTTGACATAAATCGTAAAATCATCTCAGTCAGAAAATTTGACTGGCTGAGAATCACATGGCAAGCACAAGCTGAACAACGTTATATCGTGGTTGTGAACACCTTGACAAGAGATACCGGCGTGGCCCAGTACGCCTCTCATTCGCCTCGATTCCCAGATCAATCTATCGAAGCTTGCGTGAGATTCCTTGCCTCCGAAGCTACTGCAGAGGATCCAGGGATACGAAGTATGGTGGGGTCTGAGAAGCGGCGCAGCTTATCTTCCAAGTGCGAATGCGATCCACATGGTGTCTCGGTCTTAGGATCAAGGAGGAGGTAAGGTGAGCCTGGGAGCAGACGGCCGAGGCGAAGCACCCTCGGGCACTTACCCTCATATCTTGACTAAGAGACCATACGAAAAGAAGCCATTCCAAACGTTTCGTTCCCATGTCGTGAAGGAAAGGAGATGAAGCGACACGGCGAACGACGCCATTTATTGTGTTTATGGCTCGGGAGTTTGCCAGGAGATCAAAATAGGGGGCCATAACTCCGGGGGAATGCTGCTGGTTGGCGGCGCCCGCTTGATCCGAGCGCTTAACTCTTACCAATCCACGGTTCAGCCCCAATTTGCTTTGGTGAGAAATACGGGTAGAACATAGAATCACCATATGCAGTCAGCTTGCGTGCTGTCGTCATCCCTCGGTGTTCATCCAATTGGGTTATTCGTATCATAGCCTTCCCCTTTCGGCTTACAGCGGGGTTTGAGGCGAAGCGCTTGTTTCCAAACCTCACTCAGCCTTACCCGTTCGTACTCTCCACAAGTTACCACTGGTGGTTCGTGAAAGCGATCTGGCCATACCAGCGACTTGGCCAAGTATTTTACATAGTAAATTTGTATGGGAGGTACTTCTGGCTGACTGGTCCGTGCATGAAGTTTGGCGAGGAACATCAATTTGGTGGTGGCCAAGTCGCTAGTACCACCAGTGGTAACTTGTGGAAAGTACGAACGGGTAGGATCTTGAATTTTTTTCCTGTCCACGTTAACCCCGGCCGGTATCACCAACGCAAACTCGTCGATCCTCCGAGAGAGCATACGGAGCGGCGTGAGAATTGGATTACGAGCCCCGAAGATGCATGCTCAGAGACGCAACGTCGCCGTTTTGGACAGGATCGAAGCCCCATGAGGCGACCTTAGTAATGCTCTCTCCGTACCATAGTAAGATCTTGATTCATCGTATTATCAACCCTTCAAGCTGATGAGGGCCACTTCCCCCTGATGTATGTAGCCCAAGGCTCTTTGGGGGCCGCATCCCGTTCTCGTAGTTCTGCGGTTTTACCAATCTTCCCATATTTGACTGTCTGGTCTGCTCTTCTCACAATGAATGGGTTGATTACCTTTTGAATTATTCTTGCTCTTTCTTCTTCACACCTTTCCGCAATGGGCGTCACAGAGGAATGTACCGACACGGACTGCAAAGTTCTACCGGATTTTGAGAAGGAAGGGCTTGACGAAAGTTTTCGGAAATCCACTCGAGATTCATTGTCAAATAACGAGAAACTGTCCGCGGATTTGAAAAGCTCAATCCTTCAAACTTCCACAGAAATCGAGCAGCAAGCAAATCCAGAAGTAGCCAAAGTTTTGGAAGAACTCGGATTGAGGTTGGTAGAGGACGGTTATGTAAAATGGAGACCAGATGCATCAGCACATCCAAGGAATTGGACTTCTTCCAGGAAGGCGTTTGATACTGGGCTGGTACTCCTTTTAGATCTCTTTACGTGGGTAACTCAATCTCGACCACTGTGGCTCAATGCTAAATTTCCTCAGGACCGCCGTTAGCACCGCCGGAGTACGTTCCCTAGATATCTTTGTAATAGCATATTAATAATATCTCCAGCCTCCGGTTGCAGAAATAGCAAAATTCGAGTATGGTATAAGTCGGGTAGTTGCATTGGTTGCTTTCGGAAGCATGTGAGATCTCTCTTTCCCAACTTCCCTCCCATCTGACCTTTGAAGGTACCAATTCGGCCAAGCATTCGGCGGCGTCATCTTCCCACCCTACTCCGAAGCATTCGGGCGCAAATCAGTATACATATCCGCATCTCTGGTATATTGTATATCATGTATCATCGTGGGAGTTACCCCATCTGTTGCTGGCGCCTTGGTGGGACGATTCTTGTCTGGATTTACGTCTGCTGTACCGTCGGTCATAGTCTCGGGCAGCATTGAGGATCTGTTTAATATGAGAGAGCGTGTTTGGCTCATCTACATATGGGCCTGTGCCACCACGGGAGGTCTTCTGGTAGGACCCATATACGGTTCATATATAGCTGCGATTATTGGGTGGTAAGCAACGTAAAATCCTGGTACGAATACAAGCTTACTTTGTGTGAATATAGGAGGTGGGTCTTCCACATAGCCGCCATCGTAATGGCTATCTTCACCACCCTCCTTCTCTTCATCAAAGAGAGCAGAGCAAGCCGGCTCCTCGCAAGACGTCTCGAAATCCTCCACAAACGAACAGGGCTTACCCACCTCCGCATCAACAACCCAGACCACACCCCGAGCCTCCGCACCTTCGCCAAAGTGGCTCTCCGACGACCAGTGCAGCTATTCTTCACCGATCCCATCGTCTTCGTCGTCTCAATAATGAGTGCCGTGGGCTGGGCCTTGATCTACCTCTTCACGCAAGCTCTCCCCGTCATCTATCACGGCTTCGGACTTTCGCGGCAGCAATCTTCCCTCTTGTTCCTCGCTATCCTTGTGGGAATATTTTTCGGAATCCTGCCCCGCATTTACGATCAAGGCGTTCTCAAGAAGCGGTTTGCAAATGACTCGCCTCTGCACCCCGAAGACAAATTAATCGGCTTCGCATTCGCAGCTCCTAGTCTTGCATTCGGGTTGTGGTGGCTCGTCTTGACTGTCCCGCCTGCTTCAAATCTGCCTTGGTATGCGACGATTGTAGGTTTGATCCCTATCGGTTTTGCTACCAACGAGTTTGCTTGCACACTCTCCGGGTACCTTGCAGATACATACACCATCTACGCGTCATCTGCATTTGCAGCGATGTCTTTCCTGCGAGCTGTGCTAGGCGGTCTGTTCCCCTTGATCGGGGAACCGATGTATACGAAAGTGGGATCGAACTGGGCGACTGTGATCCTGGCTTGTATGGCAACTGTCTTCTGTGCCACGCCTGTACTGTTTCTGAAGTTTGGGAGGAGGATCAGACAGAGGAGTAAGTTTGCGAAGTATAGTTTGAGAGTGAACAAGGAGACGCAGATTCAAGACGATAATGTGGAATAACGGAACATATAACGCAATAAATGTAGCTGATCAAATAAATACTTTCAGTAGCGTGATTGAGATTGGCAGTCTTCGAAGCAAAGACACGAACGTACCCTCCCGGCTCCCGTATTGAAGGTCTCGACTTGAGTCTCAAAATTCGAAAGTCGAGGTTCGTTGAGCGAGATATCCGTTTCTGTGAGGAGAACGCTTTCTTGGATTATGGCTGCTTGAGAGTGAAAGTGCCCGACTCTGTCTGCAAAGAGAGCAGGGTGGGGGGGCGTGCAAGAGAAGCATCGCCCGATATCAAAGAATAGTAGCTCAATCCCATTGTGCACGTTTTTTGTAATTCCAGTTGCCTTCGGCTTGTCTTCAATGTATGTCTATAATGAATCCTCGATTCTCCCCAACAAGTGGATGCCCGACATGTCCCAGTACTCTTCTACAAAACATTCTCCAACCAACTCGCAGTACTGGACTTGTTGCTCTAGACCTTCATAGAACTCTGGGACGAAATGTCATGCCGCCCTCTGAACAAGATCAGTAGCCTCATCCGCATTGACATAGTTAACTGGTCGAAAAACGAAGTGCATTGGATCAGCACCTTCCACGAAAGGGGCAATAGACCCTCTTTCCGGGCAGCAACTGGAACTAGAGGTAAGAATTCATGGTCGTCTCTCGAGATGAAAGCGGGGTTTTTACCCTAGGTTGTCAACTTCGTCTCGTGCTCCCAGCCTGGGGATTTGTTCATTGGGAAACATAGAGTAGGTGTTAATGTGGTCAAACTGGGCACCTACGACGGTAGATCCTGCAACCGCGGTTGGAAGTTGAAGTCCTACACAAGATCTAGCAGCGTGACGAAACCATGCCTTTCCGCCATGTGTGTTGCAAAATCGGTAAAGACTTGTGCAAAAGTTTTAGAATAGTCAACCACAAATACATCCCCATCAGCGGCAAATCCAATATAGGCAAATACCATATCTCGTGGATCAGACACACCGAGGGTCCTCCTTGCTTGCACAAGCTGAAGCAGGGCAGTTTTCTCAGGGTATATGTGTTGCTTCGACCAAGCTCGCTGCATCTGGGAAGCGTTTCCCCGGAAACGTTCAGGAACGAGCTAAACCCCCTTTCCAAAACCGCAGCCCACTTCGCCCTAGCTCTGCCCAACTGCACCCAAGGATTCGGAGCAAACACCAATTCCTGGAATACCCATACTGTTGCGAACCACTCTTTCTGACAAATGGAAAATAATGTGTCTACGCCAGCAGGCTTGCGACCGTCTCGGATCTCAAGTAAACACTGGGATTCCTTGCCGTTCGGATTTCCAAGTTCAAGATAAAAAATCGTATTTGATGCTTCTGCATAAATTCGACCCGTGAGCCGAATTTGAATGCCTTTCTCTTTGTCATCGTCTTGATTGATGCAAATGCCGTCGGCCCATAATATAAACGATCTCGTCTCACCACGCAAATCGCGAAGTGCTGAGAATAGACTTGCAGTAATCTTGAGAGGCTTGTCATTGACCCAAATAGTCTCTACCTTTTCCGCAGAGCTCCACACGTAAGAGAGGGCAGTGTAGTGAGTGAAGACGTCTCAAAGATCGCCCGACGCAAGCCTGGGGTTGAATCAGGATGCAGTGAATATCGGCGGTGTGATCCATACAATGCTTTTAGATCGATCAAGCGGATGCCGTCGGGCTTTGTGAGCGGTTTATACTCGAACTCTTGACAACATAATGGTGGTTTATATCCAAGCTCACTGTAAGTGGTGAGTGTGCTGAATGGTGGTTGATCTCAAAGATTGTCGCAACTTCCAGAGTTATGCACAAAAAGTTAGCGCCTTACCCAAGTATCGGCTGGCGAATAGGGGTTCGCCATGAACAGCCTTGCGGAGGCCAGGATCGAAGAAAGCCTCGGGAAATCGTATAGACGCCCGTGAAGACTCCTATCAAGGCTCTCTCGAAATTGTCTCGTCAACTTTACCCTTCTGTTTCCCAAAAATAGGTTCTCCATCATCATCAAACTTCGCCCACTCGAAAAACGTGCATCCCTCTTTCCCAGGAACATTTCCGGCATGACACATCCAGAAGTACTTTCCCCAGTTCTCCTTCTTCCTCTGTACAACTCTCAATACAGCCGGAACATCGCATTTACATCTAGGTGTGATACGCGGATGCAGATTAGCCTTGTAGTCTCGATAAGTAATATTGATTCTCTTGTTTGCTGAGATTGGGTGCGGATCAATGGCTTGTGCTGGCGCTATGCTATGTTTCCACTCCTCTTGCATCTCGGCATGCATCACCAGTAACGAGTTATGTGGGAGGTGGATGGCGATTTGCCCTTGAGCATCAGAGTCTTCTTTAGATTTATCTTTCTTGTCTTCTTCTTGGGGAACTATGCGTCGGACTCGGAATTCTCTAGCGACGCCCAGAGATATGGAACCGATGATGGCTCGAGGACCAAGATAGGTGAGCTGATCGCTATGGTATCCCACACTCTCGGCTGCGCCGTCGTAGCAGTTTACATTGGCGGCGTTGGGTTTCCACGAGTGCGGAGACTGATGTTTGAGCTTTTGGCCGTTGGGGTAGTGGTCTTTGACACGCTTTGTGATCTCGGAGTTGACTGCTTCTTGAACGATGGGAGAGACTCTCCGCATTTGAGGAGTGAGTTGTCGAACATCCTGGAAATGTCAGAACATGAAACAAGAAGGCTAGAGATTGTAGCTCAGAACTTCATTGGAGGGAAACCGACTTAAAAGGGAGCCATAGAGGGACCTACTGTAAGAAGTGCTCCATTGTAGAGGTAGTCCGATTTCTGCCTCTGCATCTCTTCGTACGACTCCACATAAAAGCATGCAGTATGAGGGCTTTGAACCACATTGTCGAATAGCTTGAAAGTTGCTCTCTCAAAGGTGGGAGCCTCTTTGAGCAGCTCTACGAGTAACGCATTCGCCACTTCCGGTGGGAGGAAATTGTGGATGATCGTGCACGGGGTATGAGCAGCGACATCAGCAGGGTCGTACAGATGCAACGTTTTCCCCTTCTTGGAAAGAAGCTTCGCTCGCTTTGCTGGACCATCCAAAGAGTCCATTTGGGCAACGAAGGGTGAGAGAGAACTTTGATACCCCGTTGCAGCTGAGGGTTTTCTCGGTGGCGAGTCGGAAGGCTTCAATGACGTCGAGGCGGCCTCTACTGAGCCGTTATGAGCTAAAAGAATATCGAGAAGAACATGTTGCTCGATGTACGGGTGCAAGGAGGAAAGCAAGGCCAGTTTGAAGTCTGTAGACTCATCGTCGGGCGAGCTCAAGGCACTGATATCCTCGATCGTGGTTGCCGGTTCGGTCGAAGATAGCTTCCTCTTTTTCCGGGAGACAAAGGCGTCCATATTGAACTTCAGTCGGGCTCTGCTCTCAAACCTCTCCGCTGCTGAGAAATGAGATATCGACAACACATATTTCGCGTCAAAAACGACAAAAAGAAGGACTGTGATGGAAGTAGCAAGTCGGAGGGCGTCTTTCAGACTCCGGCACTAGCCCAAGTTGCTAACCTGGAAAAGGAAACGCTAGCGACCTCCCTAACCTAGCTTCATCACAACTCTTAAGGGAAGGCGGCAAGCATTATTTTGGAGTACAGAGAAATACAAGCAAGTGTAGGTTAGATATTAAAGTGCAGTAAAGGGAGAGAGCATAGTATCACCATTTTCCTCCCAGAGAATTTTATCACGTGATCATGACTCGCCACCATGGCTTGACTCAAGAGGAGAGGCTTGGGTTTCTGGTAAGATCGGTCAAATAGGAGCTTGATTAACGCTCAGAGAATTCAACATTTATACTGCTCTTAAGAGCTAGAAGGAAATCAAACACATGAGTCAGAAGCCGGCCTCCATCCTATTATAGCATCACCTACCCATCTGTCCAAGCTCCCAGACTACCTTTGTCATATTACTCAAGCATTCATGTCTTGATATTCGTGCATATGGTTAGAGTCTTCTAATCACAATTTAAAGGAAAAGTTGAGGAGGGAGGAAGTAATGTGAAAGGCTTTCAAAAAGGGCCGCTCCCCTATGTCAGAAAATCTAACCTCCTCACACTGGAGCGTCCAAACCCCTCCCCAGATCCCCTGCTCCAACTAAACCTCATACTTCACGCCAAAGTCTTTGTAATTCAGCTTCTTGACCTCAATCTTATCCCATTCGACCCCTTCAAAACACCTTAAATTAATCGGCATGATGCCTTCCCACTTCTTCTGATCCTTTTGCGGACCGCTATATTTCGCATAGTGTTCAGGCGAGATAGAAAGCTTGCGAATGTAGACGCTAACGCCGCAGATGGGGCAGAACTCGTGGGATTGCATAGCGCGGCCGAAGGTATAGGGGGTTGTGGGGGCAGAGGAGGTTTGGATGGAGACTTGGGTGGCGAGAGGGTAGGTTAAGACTGTGCCGTTCTGGAAACGGATTGAACAATTAGAAAGGGCAGAATTTGGGGGAATGGAGGGGCGACGTACGCGAGAGCAAATGCTGCAGTTACATTCTTGGATGTGCTCGTGGCCTTCATTGAGCGGACCTTTGGTCTTGAATGCCATTGTCACATTGCCGCAGTGGCAGGAGCCAGTGTAGATTTCCGCATTTTCGATGTCGGCGGTGGGTTCAGGACCTTTGAAGGGATGTGGGGCGTATGCAGGTTCGAGGGCTTTGCCGTCGTAGGTATTGGTTTTGAAGGACCAGATGTCGTCGAGGTCACGGAGGGTTCTTGCCTGTTGTTGTTAGTTGAAGGGTGAGGGAAACGGAAGGGAGAGCGACGTTGATTCCAATATCCATGCCGGTTTGAACCCCCTTGCGCTTTCCCATGACCCCTGTAGCACAAATAGGGCAGAACTTCAACTGATCAGCTCACCATCTAGATGTAAACTTGGGGTGGAAAGAAAATACTTTGTGTTCCATCTTCTTGGGTCCAAATTCATAGTCCTTCAATGTTCCTTCACCCTTCTCAATGGTGAAGCAGCCGGCGCCTGGGAACACCCACTGGTAGCCCTTCCGGGAACAGATGCTGCAGTTGCAGTCCATGAGAGAGGTTATTTCTGGGACCTTGATGTTGAATTTGAAAGCTCCGCAGTGGCAATTGCCGTAGTAGGTCTTTAGCTCGGGCATTAATTCTGCCATTGTGGAAGGTGATCGGGGATTGATGTTTGCTCCGCTTGAGTTGAGATGTTGATGGTCGTTGGAAAACGAGAGAGTTTGATTCAGAATAACGTGTTTTAGGGAAAAGAGCTCTCTTTGCCAAACTGCTTGGATTTCGTCAATTCAATGTAGGCTTCAGCTGGATGCGCAAGCGTGCATTCTTACACATCCATCACCTTCTTATAGACTCACGGGTCTTCGGACTGAAGTTGACCCGTCACTCGCTGTAGTCTCACAAAGTGGGGTAAAGGCCAGGATGTGCAGAAAATCGCCAATGAAGGAGCGCGGTTTCCTCGGGTTGACGCGCTGTGATGGAGCGGTGACAGAGGAAAAGCAACGTGCCGTTCAGCTGAAGCCACTGGGCGTCAACCGAGTTCTATGAGTCACATAAAACGAGGTGGCTTGGGAGGAAAAGCATGGTGCACACACTGGTGGTGCACGCAGGTGGTTGGGATGACAGACACGCGCCACCGCAGGAGGGTCCGAGCAAAATCGCGCGGTCACGTGTTCTCGCAAGGGCTGCCCATGCTCTACTTCTTGGCCTCTCCACGCTTCCCTTCTTCTGCTCGGTCCGTGAGATATCTTATGATCTCCAGCCTCCTCCACCTGAGAAGTCTTCGAAGTCGGTTGACCAACTCAGATGCTGATTGTGTGATCCGTCTAATTTAGGGACCAGTCTCACATATCTGAACGCAAGGGTACAACATTATACTTCTTCTGAAGGAGAGAAGACGAGAACATGGTTTTCTGCTCCTCTCTTCTCTCCAAGTCTTGTTGATTGTTTGACGTCCAACTTTTTTCTTCTTCTATTATCATCTCACTTGGCACGGCGAAGTTTGGCAGCCCAACTACAAACACCCCACCTTCCGTATCAGGATGCGGGGTCATCCGCGCTTCTCACTTCAAGCAATTTCAAGTCCTCACCTTGCTTCCAATGGTACCTGAGACTTTACGAAATAGCTCTCTTATGTAGGGGGATTCACCAGGATTTCGGAGTGGGGAACCGTACGAGATTTGCTGCATGAAAACCCAAAATCCGCCGGCGGCCTGAGTCACCGAGCAACATCTGCAGATCAGTGTTTCCCAGTCTTGAGTATATAGAGAGAGAATGTTCAGCCAACGTTTTTATAACAGTTCCCCTTCAATACAACGTCACAATCAGACAATATGGCACGAATGACTATCAGAGACCTGGGATACTCTCCTGGCCAACTCCCAACTGGGCCAAAGAACTCCATTCTCGATGTTAAAGGCAAGCACAAGATTCCTCTTACTGTGTCCCCCTTGCTCAAACGCCAATAGGGGTCCGAGTCGGTCAAGTAACAGTGGGAAATGATGGAGACGACGTTCACAACGGCGTGACAGTCATCCTCCCCCGCAGTCCCGATGAGATCCACATCCCCTGCTACGCAGGAATGCACACTCTCAATGGCAACGGAGAAGTCAGTGGCTCATACCAGATCAAAGACTGGGGATTTACCAATACCGTTTGTTTCTCTCCTCAGCCTCCCATGTGCATAAATTCATAACGGACAGCCTCTCGCTCTAACGAATTCCGTGAGCTTTGGAATCGTGTTTCAATCAATATGGGAATGGACGCTAAAGCAAGCACGCGATAATGGCTCTTCTCTTGAGACGATCAGCCATAACTACGGCACGCCCGTTGTGGGCGAGACTGCAGACTGGTTCCTGAATGATGTGTATAATTCCGCCCTTAAAGCTGAGAGTGTTCATCAAGCATTCGCCAATGCCATGACTCAGGAAGAGATTCTCGAGGGGCAACACGGCGGGGGTGCCGGAATGACATGCCACATGTTTCCAGGAGGCACTGGGACCAGTTCAAGAGTTGTGAAAGGAAGCGGTGATATGATCTACACAGTCGGTGTGATCGTCCAGTCAAATTACGGACATACATATGACATGCAAGTCGGTGGCGTTCCCATGGGCAAACTCATTTTGAAGGAGAAGGGCACACCTTGGCGGAAGGAGAAGGTGGCTGGCAAAGCAGATGATGGAAGTATCGTCATCTACCTTATGTACTTCCCTCACATTTCCCCAAAATCTCCTCCGGCTGATGATTTATTGACTTGTAGCACTGATGCCCCCATGCTCCCCCATCAACTAATCCGCCTAGCACGCCACTGCGCCGTCGGCCTCGCGCAAGTCGGTGGCCACGGCGTGGGCAGCAATCACTCAGGCGACATCATTCTCGCTTTATCCACCGCCAACAAACCAGAAGAGCGAGTCATGACTCCAGGTGTCAACGGCATCGGTCCCATCGAAGTCAACGAGATTGAGATCATTAGGAACGAGAGTATTAATACAATGTTCAAGGCGGCGAGCGAGGTGACTGAGGAGGCGATCTTGAATTCTATGATTGCGGGGAGGGAGGGAAGGACGGGGTTTGATGGGGCGACGTTGGATGGCTTTCCGGTTGAATTTGTGAAGGAGATGTTGGCGAAGTATCGTGTTGATGTTTGATTTATTTCCTCTTCGTTGTTTTTATTGAGAGCTTTCATTTTCGACGTGTTCAGCAGCTGCTCCTATCACGTTCATTGTTTGAGACTATCTATAGTAGTTTGTTTTAGGCTCAAAGTAGCGAGCTTAGTTTCTCCAAATGCATTCCAAACCACTTTTCAAAGTAGCTCATAGTTATCATCATATTAAGTGCCCAACCTAGATTACCGGTAGGAGTCGCTGGGGCAGTAATCTGAGGCCCCGTAACGACGACCGTCTCCATCTTTGAATTCAAATAAGTATCCAATTCAGTATAACTGTGCCCATCCGAATATATGAACACGTAGCTGAAGCTAACACTTGAAAGCAAAAACCCCAGTTACCGTCGCCGGATAGATAGTAATGAGAGGCTCGAGAGTGGTGACGGTCGCGTAACTCACGAACCAGGCGTCGCTGACGTTGAGCCAGTAGATATATCCGAATGACCTGATTTTAGTGATTGTGATGCGCAATGCCGGAAGGAGGAGGGAGGAGGTGGTCGTAGGATTAAGGTTGTCATGAAGACGGGAGTTGGCCTTGGGCAGGGGGGTACCATTTGGACCAGAGAGCCCCGTTCTACATTGTAGGAAGGTGGTGCTGTTGATTTGAAGAAGGCAAATGAGGAGAACCATGAGTTAGAGAATATTTGGTCTCGTCTTGGTTTATTGAAGAGAGAGAAGCTAGAGTTGTCGTTTTCTATTGTGATGTTTGGATAGAAAGCAGGGAATCTCGTTTCCCTACTTCCGTTATGCCAAAGACGTCAGGTGGGAAGCATAACAGTAGGAAAGCTCTTCGACTCTTAAATCTGTTTAATTCTTTACTCCTTTAGATAGATTACTTCACAGCTCGATTTTAGCCAAGTTGTGAATGGGGTTAATGTCTAGCTTTACCCGGCACACGTCACTTGCTGCTATCAGGACTCTTGCAAAAAATTAGCCCTTGCATAATACTTAAGAGCTATATAATTTCATAGGTCAGGAATATGTCTTTCTTTAATTCTATTGTTTCAAAATTTCTTTTAATTGATAAAGTCCCGGTCTCGAGATGCTCACGAGCCTACCGTCGCAAGTCCGTGTTTTAGCGAGGTTTTCAGGCCCCGCAAAACCAAAGTCGCCCACCTCACTTCACAGTTTCTGAACAACTATCGATTAAAACCTTATGCAAATCAAGCGCGCACGATAAAAGAAGCTAGAACGAGTTTAGAAGGGCTTTAAACCCAATTCTAAATATAAAATAAAAGCGCCCAAAATAGTTATGGGACTCATTCTTAGCAAAATGCCCTAAAAACACCGGACTTCTGAGGGTACAAAGTAGGCTCGTTACCTCGTTACGAGGTTAAGTGTTGTGATGACTTAAGCGAGGAACCCCTGAAAGGAGGACGGGACCACGCGCTTCACAGCACTCAACCTGAATGGTGCATGACAATCTAAAGCTAAGATACAACTATTGTATTACATCCCCTAGATTCTAAATAAGTTGCCCGCCAAGTTCCACAAAGTCCCAATCTGCTCATTCTCGCGAACATTACAGCCTCAACAGGGAGTTTCTATCCATTGCAATAGTTTTACCCTCCTAGCTTCAAGGAAGCCAATCTCCCCGTTATCAATCTCTATTCGACCAAACCCCCTTGTTGACGCCCTCTGACTCAACACCAGCCTTCGCATTCACCAACACAGCCTACAAGAAGTACTCCCCCTCGTTCACATCCAGCTTTCTCGATCACACCCCAGCCACACTCACCCTGTCCTTCTCGGTCACCAACAAGGAGAGTAGCATTGAGACAGCCTGCAGCTTCAGCAACGATTTGATCAATCAAGGCGGCTAGCAGGACGATGGAACGATGTGGAACGCATACGGATATCGGACTATGTCTATTGTTACAATTGGCCGACCGGCTTTGGCTTTTGTTGTCAAGACGAATGCGTGGTTTGAGTGGAGTAAGTGAAAGGTGAGTGACGGCTAGACAGGGATTTGTAACAAATGGAGCCGGACGTGATGTGGCACCGTAAGTTGGCTCTTATATGTTCGATCTATTTGATCCTCCAGAGTTCCAGTTCGAGCTCGTGATTGACTCTGTTTTCTAGGGCGAATCGTAGTGGGATAGTAAGCACCAAGTTAGTACCCGTTTGCACTACTACTCGAAACTGGAAATGTGTGATCAAAGTCTGATGTAGGGTAGAAGTGTAGCGAACTTCGTCAATCAATGAATTCCGAGCCTAGTCTTACAAACACCCCTAAGAAAACAAATGAAAAGGAACCAATAACTCCATGCCCAGCAACCATCTGACATAACCATAATCACAATTTCCCCTCATAATCCATGCAGTGTAACTCATATCATCGTTACCACCAAGGCGGCCCCCATCCCCAAGTACGTCCCAAGCCTACTCCTAAACCTCCAAAGGTAGCCCCCTTTCCTTTCCCCACCGTGGAAGTACTCATTTGCACAACACTAGGTGCCATACTTCTCAAGGTCTCAGCCCCAACACTCCTCTTGTTTCTCAACGCGACCTCCATGATCCTGCTTCTCTCCTCAGCAATATCTCCAGCCTTCCTCTTTCCACCCAGTCCGCTCGAGATCGTTGACACAGAATTATTCCCAGAGCTGAGTCGACTCGGGCTGGTTTCCTCTTCCAAGCTGTAGTAGTGGTCTGCACTGATGCTAGTCCTATGGTGACGGCTGCGGCCACCACGGGAATTCCGACGCATCTCAGTCCAAATTTTCCTTGCTGGGTCGACTTCTGATGAGGCCCTTTCTCTCGAGAGATGCGCTTGTGGGAGGCGAGCGAAGGGCCCTGAGAGGGTTGCTGCGTTCACTGTTGCAGAAAGAGGAGAAACTAGTCGTGTGGCTAAAGCAGAGTCGATCGTACCTGCAAAGCACGATGTGGCGGGCTTTACAGTGTCTTCACTCGAGCCAGGGAGATGTTGCTGAAATCGCCTCGCCATCGAAATGGGTGCCCGCTCGTTAGCCAACCTTTTGAGAGTTTCTCGCGCTCTATCGGGTGGTAGATGTGTCTCGATCAGTGAGATAAGCGGGTTCGATGCCAGTGGGTTAGCCATAGCTTGGGAGGTACGCGGAGACCAGGCAGACTGAGAATCATGTCTCTTGATGACTGCGATTGCTTCGGTTTGCAAGCGAGTAATATGCGAGCTGAGTCCTTCAGCAACCCCGGAAGGACTTCTGTGGCTTGGAAATCCGGAATGTTGGTAGGCAACCCGGACTGTAAGATATGAGTTCATGGTATCGCCGAGGTGTGTCTCCAATTGAGAAATAAGATCAGCCGAGGAAACCTCTCTGGCATGCCGTGGAGCAGTAACTTTGCTGAGCAAGACTTTGGCGAGGACAAGATGTGTTTCATGAGCGCCGATTGTCGGTACTCGATGGAGGCTACCAATGATGCCGTCGAGTTGACAGCCTCGACCAGGGTAGAGTTCTATCTCAATAGAGTGCAGTTTGCCGTAGTGCCTCGCTTCTATAGGCGGTATTAGACTTATAAGAGTTATGAGAAAGGAGCCAAAACGTACCAGATGAACTGGGACCTGAGAGGGATGGGGATACTCGGCGGCCATCTGCCTTGTGAAGAACCCCAGTTACTTCGACAGCCACCCAGAGATCGCAATTTCCGTTGTCAAGACTATTTACCTCCGGTGTGATTTTGATCTGAGGGCACAGAACGAAAACGTTGTCGTTGGATGTAATCGATGTTGTATCAGATGCTGAGAATGATGAGGGTGTGCCACAAGAAATTATTGAATTGATGCCAACGTCTGCGATGTCGAAGCTCTCGGGTGGAAGGGAGGGTTCAGTGCTCTCAGAAGAAACATCGTCTTCGCAAAACGCATCGTAAGAGCCCGAGGTTTTCTTTTTAGTACGCGAGAGGCGACGTATCAAGGTATTCTTGGATAGTGTCGAATCGCTCCGCTTCACGCCCTTGATGTCTTCGGAGCCGCGTCCACCAATGGCACGGAGAAAGAAGTTTTTGGACTTGGACGGCCGTCTTGGAGGTATCGCAGGAGGCGAACTCTGAGGAAGGGCATATAGATGACGGTTATGAAAAATTTCTTGTTGTGGTGGGTACAACGAGTGCCGTTGACCCCGAACGGAGTGTCTGCCCGCCTCTATGTCAAAACTGCGTCCATGAAGCTCTGATTTAAGAAAAGCTCCTGCGCTGATGGTCCTTGGTAGAGAGCATTTTGCCTTTGGTGTCACATTTGGATCATCTTGAGGACTGCTTGGTCCTACAAACGTGTAAGAGAATGCAGATGATTTTGAAGTTGAATACTCACCATTGATTTTCCAAATTGAATCCAATTTGTTCAAATCTTCTGGACTCATCTCCGACAGAGGCTCTTCCAAACCCCAATCACTTATGCTTGCTCTCGTCGTTCGTTTCTTCCGCACCGTCAATGGTCTGTCACCTCCTGGCGGCGTTCCCATGCTCTCATTGGACTCGCCAGAAGTACCGCGTCGTCCGCCGAAAGTCTCTCTGCCCGACAAGCTGTTGGTGATGGTCTGGCTACGTTTGATGATTCTGAGCGGCGACGGTTTGGCGACCTCGGATTCGTGAAGCTCCACATCAGGCGAGTGGAACGCGTGGGATGCCATATCTCTCCCGAGCTATCGTCGTTTGATCTTCCGCCTCCTTCGCTAAGCGAGTTGACTGACTTGCGTCTTGGGGATTGCCCGATGAATGTGTTGTAGCCTCTGTCGGAATTGACACTCTCGAGGTCCGCCCAGGAATCTGCGTAGTAAAGATTTGAGGATAGGTCTGATCTTCGTCGTCGAGTCTTGTTGCAATGAGACCAAGGATAATAATTGTCCCAGAATTTGCGACAATAGCGGCCGATGCGTTTGAATACTTCGGCGAACTTGAGTGCAATATATGCTGCAGATGCTGCGATGACAATCGGAACAAGAATAAGAGCGCCGATTGCTAAACTATTGCTACTCATAGCCAAAATTGAAGTGATGTTGACATGCTAGAACTGGAGTAAGGCGTGGTGATGTGTCTGTGAAGAGTCTGCAAAGACCGGCAGAAATGGTTTATTTGGGTGATGTGTGAATATGGCAGGAGCGAGCCAGAATTAATGGAACCAGCTCAACTCTGCTCGCAGGAGTTCCTTAAGGGCACGGGACGCCTCGTATGCGATGAAAAGGTCTAACGAATTTTTCGAGACTTCTCGTTCGAAGCTCTACTATTCGTGAGGCCCCTCCGTCGAACAGCCCATGCCAGTACACCCTTCTTGACCACTTGAGCCAAAGCAATCAAGGTTGCAAGACCCAAATAAATGCTTCCTCCGGGGAGAAGATAATTATGGGTATCAATTCTCCACGCAGGCCCCATAAAAATGGACCAAAGATTCCAATACCGAATCTTGTCGGTAGGTGTAAGTCCGGGTATCAATTCCTCGCCAAGCAGGCTTTAGGCAACCCCTCTCCTCTGCGGTTCTACCTCAAGACTTCTCGTGATATTCTCCTTGATCGTCTCCACCTCCTCCCCCTCCATACTCAAGAACCTAATAAGATCATCCCCGGCATCCTTCCCATATAAGGCTGCCTCAGCAAGACTGCCCTCGACCCCCTTCTTAACCCTAATCTCCCAAACCCCGTCCCAATTCCACTCTCCAGGCCTTCTATTCGCCATAGGACTTGAGCTACCCCCAGCAACCCTCTGGTGCCCCCCAGCACTGTGGTCGTCTTCCCCATCACTCAACCCATCATGCCAAGCCATCTTTTCCTTCCCCGCTCCCTCATGATTTAACACCTTCCCAGATTTCGCCCGATACGCCCTCCACGCATAACATGCGCCAGGATTCCCCGCCGCTTCAAGCGGTACCGAATCCAGCACCTCTTCGTCATCAAATGTTGAACGGATATAGCGCAGCACATCATACGTGCTGACATCGCTCTTCCTCCTCTCTGCATGTCCCACCGTCCCTCCACTCGCACTAACCCCACTATCCTCTGTCCTCCCACTCCCGCTCCCAGGACTCTCCATTCCCCCTCTTGATGGAGTCTGCAAACTACCTTTAACCCTCTCCCGCTCCGCACTCCTCCTGCTACTCGCTCTCCCAAACCAAGCTGGGAATCCTTGCCTTAACGAAAATCCACCAGGAGGGAGTCGTTCCTCATCGGTAGCAGACACGGTTCCTGAATCTTGGATATCGGTCGTGTACATGTAGGTTGTTAGGGGTGTGATTAAGGGATGGAAAATGTCGGTGCTGAATGTTACGAGAGGGGGGAGGGAGGGGTATGTTGGTGGGAAGGAGATTTGGAAACGCAGGATTGCGGGGGCGTAGGGTCCTTTGGTGTGTTAGCCTCTGAGCTTCCAAATAGCTTGGATTGGGACAAGGACCTTTCCGTACGAATATTACGCCGGACCACAGCGTGGGATCGCCCGGTGTGAGGCTCATGAACACGCCGTGTGGACCAGCGTACTTGAGACTCGAGCTGTTGCATGGCGTTAGCTGGCTGTCGAGGGTTTGTTGATGGAAAAGGGGCATACAATTCGACGAGCAAATGCTGTTTCCGCACAGCGGAGAGGGAGGATAGGCGTTGCGATACCATCTTGCATAGAGATGTGATAGGAAAGTTGTGTTGCATGAAGTTGATATTGCTCGAAGGCGGTCAGAATTCTGCCGAGGTGTCGAGTTGAGACACGGTCCAGAACCTCAAGGCCGTAGGTTTTGCTGCATTATCAGGCATCAGCTCTATTTTTTATTTACTTTCTACTGTATTGTTCATGCTTCATTCCTCGTATCTCTGACTGTGCTTCATACCCAGCTCTCATCTGTTCATCACGCGTTTCCCATCACCCACATCAAACATCGACGCGTTTTGAGTCATGAAGCATTACTCCTGCCCTCAGGATATGCTCTCTTTTCCAACGCCATGTCATCCATTCATTTCTCGGCCAATCTCAGCTCAATCTTCCGCTTCTCAGCCTCCCTCAGCTCCTTCAACTCCTCCTTGCTAGCATCATAGGCCGCAGAAACCTGATTGAAAGGATTCTCCTCACTCTTCTCAAACTCCTTCCGAATCTTTTCTCTCTTCTGGTTCTGTCTCAGGCCTTGCCCACTTCCATCGGTCTCCATCTCCTGCAGTCTCCGCTCCTCGTACGCAGCAAACGCAGCCTTGAATCTCCTCTCGGGATGTCTGTCGATTTTCGTGCCAGTGTCGGCAGTCAAGGAGAGTGCATCAAGAGCGTTGTCGATACCGGTTGCATTAAGAGCGGTCGCTTTCTTGGACTCTCCGTCGTCATCGAGTTGTGACAAGTCGAGGCCCTTGGATTTCTCTGTCTTCTTCACGGCCTGCTTGGTATTCTTGGGTACTGCTCGAGCCTCCTTCTCTTCTTCGGCTAGGATAGCATCTTTCTCTGCCTTCTTGCGCGCTTGTTCTGCCTTCTTTGCGGCTTCTGCTTCTCTGTTTGCGGATATGATCAGTTGATGTGCTGCAAAGTGGGGTGGTGGCGAGGGGTAGCCCAAGATGACGGAGGCCTCACTTTTTGGCGTTGCTCTTTGCTCCCTTGCTCCAGTCTTGCTCCTCTTCTACTGCTTTCTTTGCGTTCTCAGCCGCGGCTTTGGCTGCTGCTGCTTCAGCTTTCTTTGCATTGCCTGCTACCTTCTTGGTGTTCTGCTCTCCTGTCTTCTTGCCTGCCATATTTGCAACGTCTGCTGAGTGGGTCGTTGAGAGGAGATTCTCGAGGAGGGCTTCCAAAAGAAACTTGCGCTACCTGTACCAATATCTTGCCACTGGCTTGAATATTAAGCTTGCGTCTTTGTCTTTGGCAATTACCCCGCCATCTCGGCTTTGTGGAGTCAACCCTTCGGAATGCGGAGCATATTTGATCCGATTATTAGCCTCAGGCACCAATTCTCGTTCTAGATCACGTGGTATGCTTGACTCGAGCCCTCCTTTCTTTTGTGAGTTATCATTTTCAGAGCCTCGAAATCCCTCAAACTAGTTCTTTCAAGCACCGGGAAGTTCCCGGTGGAGCAAATTGCAAGTCGAATTAAATTGCGCGCCAGCCACCAACTACCTTTTTGTAAGCAGCCTCCACAAACAAATTGGTGCCGAGAGCTATTCCGAACTCCTTTGAAGGCACAAACATTTGTGAGTGATAGAATATTCCAACCCATGTTTGCGTTCCTCTATAATTGGCTTCTGAACCGCCGCGGCTCGGGTTGAGAGCTCAACTTGACCAGGATTGCCTAGACTGCCTGACAGAAAAATGAAAAAGAGGATTGCATCCTGCATAGTCGCTGGTGTACAGTTCTTTGCAGGAGTTTAGCGTAGCATGTGAGGATCATATGAGGATCATATGATAGTGATACCATGAGTTATCGTCAAGTTGGCTTCTCTGGTCTGAAGAATGGGGACGAACAGAAACCCTTGAGCAAGCCAACGTATGATGCAACGAGACGGTGCGTCTTATGATACGAGATATCGGGAATCTACAATGCTGTGATACACGGCTGCCATATGCATGCTGTCATCCCAACCGTTGAAGGAGGGACAACGTCGAGTTAGACGTTCGCCAGGATCTGAGCAGGCTTCCGCAGTGTAACAGAGTGAACCGGTGAAGTGAACCATCGGAAGATACCCTGCAATCCATGCACCTCGCCATCTGACGACTTTGCTTTGATAAGACTGGCGATGGAGTGGAGAGGGATATGAAGTCCATACTCGGTGTACTCGTAAGCACTGGCAGAGACGTCGTCTTCCCGGCTTGATCTCGGGAGGGAAAAGCAAATATAATGTCGCATTCGCATCGGCAAGGTTGGCTGCTTCCGCTGCGCTGCAACTGCAATGGGAATGCAAAGACCATCTGCATTAAGGGCCCTTATGCCCGGATCGACGGAAAAAGCAAGAAGAATCGCGTGATGCAGGGATCGGGGAGGTCCTGCGCCCAAACCCGCAATTCCAAGGCTGATGCATACTGACGACAGACAACTCCAAGCTGTGTGGTTGGGAAGACCTCCGAGGACGAGAATAGGGACTCTTGCTAAGCGCCGAGAGTCCATGACAAAGGAGGTCTGGAATAATATCAAAGCCAATTTAATACTGTACAGTACAGAGCGCGCTGAAAAGCCAGGCTGTAGATCCAGTCGGGAGGAGTCCCGCCAATGTCATCAAGACTCGTGGCTGTGAAACGCTGGAAGAATACTTGATTGAGGGCGATGTGCGTGCAGGCTTCGGTGCATATGCATCTTAAGAAGGGCGGGCGCATGCATGACAAGGGCCAACGTCCAACGTCAACGACGCTTCGAAATGCAAATCCTTGAGTAACAGCCGCAAAAACGTGAGGCTGGCTGCACTCCTCCGCCATGAGAGTGGCCACAAGATTAGATCCGCTGCATGAACCCTTTGGCTCTGCTTGGTTCGACTTTTGAAGAAGTGCAAGCCCCCCGAGCCTCTGTTGATGCTGTGCAACACTGCCGTCACCCTGATCTAGGGCCAATGTGTTGAGTGCTCGTGACCAGGACTTGCGTTTCGGAGTCATCTTGTCATATTGCTGCAGCGACATCGGGCATTTGACGAGACGGTGAGGCGGTCTGATGATGTTGAAGTTGGAGGAAGGTGTGAGGTACTACGGAAAGACCAACTAGGCAAGTAGAACGTCCCCTGTTCTTCGCAGTGCCGAGGTACCTGCCGGTCGATACTTCGTGTAACACAGAGCTGCTTTTCAATCCGGCAGCTCGGAACGTGGCCGAGACCCCTTGCAGAGCGTATGCACAATCGACGTCCCTCGGGAATTCTGCTCTGACTCTCCAAAAGCAACCAGGTGTCGCGGGAGTGGCGAGGCCACTCTTTGGTACGAGGCCATTGCGACCAGGAACAGGCATGAAATCGATCGACTAGATCGGAGTGAAACGTGAGCACTCACTCAACTGAGATCCAGCGTAACATCACCGAGGTGGCGGGGGTCTGGAGCTGAGGAGCTGAAGGCAGTGTCGCCATCCTGACGGCAACGAGCGCGCCGTCTTGGCCAAGCTGGATGGTGCTGGTGGTGGGTCTCCGAAGAGAAGGGTGCATACCCAGGCTGGCGGTTGGAAGAGAGAATCGAAGTGACGAAAGCGAGCCCGACTGAGGCTGTTGATTGGGCATCTCTACGCGATACACACAACGTCACTCGGGAAAGGCGTTGGTGGAGCACCCCCCTTCAACTCCTGGGCGTGGGATCAATTTCCAGAGAGGCGGTCACGCACCCATCGCCATCGAAGCCCCATCCAGACTGGCGGTGAGTCGTGTCAAGCGAAATTCGCCGCCAGCAGTGGACGTTTTGATGGGTCCTCCGGAAGGCTCAAAATGGAGAAGTTTGATATTGATGGCCTGGCTTCGAGGCCGACGATCTTGCTGACTACTGTGATATCTGCACTTGGACAAGAATACGAATCAGAAAGGGAGGGACAAGATTCTCGCAGGGACGGTGGCACGCAGCGCAAAATGCTCATTCCAGGCCTTTGCCAAATTATGCCATTCGCAGTCTAGCATGACCGGTCACTGACCACGACGAGCTAAAGCACTTCCCCGGCGGCAGTCAAGGAGACAGTTCCGCGAGATCACTAGAAAAGCTAGTGGTTGAAAATGCCCGAAGTTCGCATCCCGGCCCCCCTGGATGCCCCCTCCAGCCAATTACCCCTTATTCCGAGGGACGACAAAACCGTTTCCCATCAACCCCCCCATCAACCCCCCCCCCCCCCCGAACTGCCAAAACCCACACCCTCTCAAGCACCAAGCAACCAAACCCCGAAGCACCAACTATCCACCCACGCCTTGGCACTCCTCCTCCTTCTCATACGATTTCGTCGTGGGCTGTGAAACGTGCGTCACTCGCGAGAGCGAGGGCCCGCAGTTCCCACACCCTCTCCTTCGGCTTCGTCTGGAATGTCTCCATGTATTCTGCAATCCCTGCTTGAGATCCCGATTCCGCGGAAAGGCCAAACAAGGACGCTGGCCCCCCGTTTATCTGCCTATCAAGCTGCACAATTTCGTGGCCCCGGACCTCGAGTCAGGGCGGACGCCGAGCATGGATAGCGAGGTGCCCATCATTTTGCTATTCTTGACGCTGGATGCATAATCCCATGCCGTGCTCGTATAATACACCGTTTTATATGGGGTTCTTGCTCTTGCTGCCGTCGAATCTAGTCAAGGCAGGGCGACAACTGCTTGCATTGTGGTCTCCTGACTTACATCCGGGCAACTTGCTCCAGTCCCCGGTGCGCGATTCCTGATTTCAACATCAGCCTCTGCGATCGCAGACAGAACCAACGTCAGGCAAGCAGGTGTCGTTCTGCATTGCGCAGCCTCAATTATCTGGATTGCCGACCTATCCGGAACGGCCACATGTCTGAGATCGAATTACGCTGTTCGTGTTTGCGATCGTTCGTTCGGAACAGAGCTCGTCCTGAGGCTCGAGGGTCTGAACTTGCAAGTTGTCGCCGACTCGCCAACCCCCGCCAGTAGTCGCCAGCCCGGGTCTTGACTCCCCCTGACTACTTCTTGCAAGGGCGAACACGCCAACGGTCCACGAACTGGTCACAGGACTTCGGGGCTTTCGCCTAAGGAGCCGGCGTGGGCCAGTCACAGCTGAGCGAGCCCCAGGCGCAGAGTCGGAGCAGGGGGCCGAGCCCAGTTGTTTGGTACTTGGGCAGCTGGGCCCACTGGCCAAGGCAATCCCAGCACGTTGTTTGGCCGTGCAGAGGTGCTTCTTTTTATGTCCTGTATGCGAAGCGTGGGTGCGGACTTTCCTTGGGCTGTGTGGGCTTGCACGTTCGGAGCATTCCAAAGGCACTGTCTCGGGACTCCTGGTGCTCACTGCTCAGTGCCCACTACGTACTGCCCACGAGTACGCTCGGCCTGTGGCTCAGGTGTGGTGACTTGACGCTCGCTGCCGTTTGACGGAAGCGGAGGGGACGGCGAGAGGTACCAGCTCAGATCCCAGTGCAGAGCCGAGCAAGATACATCTCGTCTCTGCCGCCCCGTGCATATCAGCCTGCAACTCACCCTCCGCATTGCTGAGTAAGAACACATAGAGTCATGGACACGGAGTTGGACCTCAAATTTGACCTGCTTCCTGTGACCTGCTTCCTGTGACCTATTCCTGATGCTGCTGAGAACGCGGCACAGACTCTTCAATCCCACCCCAGCGCGCCAATTGGGCCTCGGCGAGGCCACCCGCGCTTCGTCACCAGGATTAATAGGGGCAAGAACCTCTCCTTCCGTCAACCTCTCACAGACTGCGTTACTATCGCATTTCCAACAGCCAGCTCGCATTGTCGAATCGCGCTGAGAGCTTTCCGGGGCCACAGGTGCCCACGGCGCAGATTCATGAGCTCTCTACCAAGGAATCTTGTGGTGGACTTTCTGACGCACATACTCGGCCAAATGATGGAATATGGCTCTTCACGTTTGTCCAGTGATTCTTCATGATCACCGGCACGCTGCCGTTCCGATTTGGATCTTGCATGGCTATCACGATGGCTGAGATGTGCATCAGCGATTCAGCGCCGAAGGCCATGTCGCCGCCCTCCCCCCCTTCTCTCTCATCTCATACTCTCCACACCGCCACCACTGCAAAACAGGCCTGTGCTCAATACTAGCAGTCCCCAGTTAACAATACCACGCTACTAGACCCAGCTATCCCAAGCCCAAGTTACCTACAGGGTTCGATCCATGTGCCATGCCTGCAAGCGATCCTTAAGGGCTCTCACAATCCCTTCGGAAGACCCGCTGCTCCAACGGGCACACGGAGTCAAATGCCGGGGCGAGGTGGAGTACCGTCTGATACAGGGCCTCATGCTCAGGGCCTGTCGTCCATCTTGCCCCCATACGACCCTCCCGGCTTGGGTTGCAAGCTCCAAGCCCCATGCTTGCCTGGCCCACGACCATGACCCTCCCCAGTTCCCCTTCCTTGTCCGTTTTGCCCTAACTTAGTCCGTGTAAGTGTCTCTCTGTCACGCATCGTCACCGCCCATCAGATTATAATTTTACGCGACCGCTGCCGGGTACATTTATAACTAACCAAAGGCCACCCAGCGGTCAGCTACATGAACAGCCCAATCTCCTCTGCATATCTTTCTTTTCTGATCTTCTGATTCCTTTCCTGCTCCCTGATACAACAGCACATACACAAGACTCCACTCTGCCTCTGCACCTAACGAGTAACCCTTCTTTGACTGCACCTACCCGTCCACCTGGTGACGACCACCCGGAAACACAGCAGTACAAAATCCAAGCATATAACCTCATATGGTCCACAGCTTCCAACTCAACACCACCTCCCACCTCCTCATTAGACCAATTCGTCTCCCAAGTACAAGAACAACCAATCCCAACTGTGGAACCTTACATCCAAGACCGACAAGACAGCAGCCACAGCGCTCGCCATGGCTGGCGCACAGCAGACAAGTTCGCGGAAGCGGACCCAACCTTTCCCCACAAGGCAAATGACAATACTAGGTAGGTTCTGCGGGTGTAGACGGGGGCTGCAATACCTCAGGGTCCTCGCTGACGAGAAGCAGCTTTATGCCGAATCTGCGAGCCGATTGCCTTTATGTCCATATTCCCATATGTATATTTCATGATCAAAGACTTCGGTGTCACTCAACATGAATCCGAAATCTCAGTATACGCGGGAATGGTGACATCTGCATTCGCCTTTGCGGAGTTCTCGTCTGGTGTAGCATGGGGAAGACTTAGTGACAGGATCGGACGAAAACCCGTCCTGCTCACCGGACTCGCTGGTACCGCACTCAGTATGCTGATCTTCGGATTTGCACCCAACCTTCCAGTTGCATTGTTGGCTCGGGCGCTGGGAGGACTCTTGAATGGGTACGTGGAAGTTCCGGGATGTCATGCACTCCTACATCAAAAGTTGTGAACCCTTTTCTAACCGATCAATGGTTTTAGAAACATTGGCGTTTTGCAGACCACCGTCGCGGAAATGGTCACCGTCAAGGAACACCAACGTACGTCAAAATCTGATATGTCGTATTTTCCCTCTCCAGTTAGAGCCGCTTGCTGACGAGTCGGAAAGCCCGCGCTTATACGATTATGCCATTCGTGTGGTGTCTCGGGTGAGTTGCTGGAAACGTTTGTCAATTTTCGGGACCACACCACATTGCTAACTTTTGTGTCGAGATCGATTCTCGGACCTACTCTTGGAGGCGCATTGGCTAGACCAGTCCTCAGCTATCCAGAGCTCTTCCACGCCGGATCCATTTGGGACCGATTCCCCTACCTGTTGCCCAACCTTGTGTGTACGATGATCGTGACCTGCGGAGTCGGGATTGGGATCTTGTTTCTCGAGGAGACGCACGAGGAGAAGAAGCACCGCCGCGATCCGGGATTGGAAGCTGGCAAATGGATTCTGAGCAAGGTTACACGCTGTGCGGAATCGAAGTCATCAAGCGAAAAGGAAATGGATCTGGACGAGGTTCTCTCTCTGTTGAGCGACGATGACCAGCCGCCGAATTACCGTACGAACGAGAGCTCGCTCAGCATTCCGTCCACCCCATCAGCGGACCGTCAGGAGGTGTTGGATCTGAATGACTCGCGCATTGCGGCGTCGCCTGCAGCAACAAAAGCATTCACGAGACAGGTTGTTCGCAACATCATCGGTTACGGCATCTTAGCTTAGTAAGTCATGCATGAACTGGTTCTCGTGCCTCACTGACTCGTGTGCGCAGCCACACAATGACTTTCGATGCAATGCTGCCAACACTCCTCAGCACCGAACCCCCTGAGAATCCGGAACCATGGAAGCTGCCTTTCAAGTTTGTTAGCGGCTATGGACTCAGCACGAAGCAGATTGGGGTTGTTCTCTCGGTCCAAGGCATCTACTCCATGATTGCCACCATCTTCCTCTTCCCCATCATCGTCCGCCGGCTTGGAGCCCTTGGTCTCTTCAGGGCGCTCGCTATCTCCTATCCCATCTTGTACATCTCCACTCCGTACTTGGTTCTTCTACCGGACAAGCTGAAGATGGCCGGGGTCTATGGAGTCGTCATCTGGAAGTGCACATTCGCAACAATGGCATATCCGAGCAATGCCATCCTGCTCACCAACTCGGCGCCCTCGCTCCTGATGCTGGGAACAATCAATGGCGTTGCAGCTTCCACAGCCAGTCTCTCCCGAGCCTTCGGCCCAACAGTATCTGGATTCCTCTTCTCAGCAGGTCTTCGACTAGGATACTCTGGCCTCGCCTGGTGGTGCAGTGCGGTAATTTCTCTAGCAGGCGCCCTCATCAGCTTGCGCATGACCGACAAAGGAGGACGCATGGATGTCGACGAGAAGATCGACGAAGACCGCGACTTGGGCTTCGAAGAGCAGATTCTAGATCACCACGCCTTGGATTCCGCCATCGCAGCCGCCGAACCACGGAGAGATATCGAACCACTAGATAATAATATCATCAAGTGATGACTTTCTCTCGCGAGAAAGAAAGCGACTCACGAATTTCATCTCATAGCGCCTTTTCGATTCTACGCTTTCCTCTGGGAGGATACCTGTATAAAAAACAACCCTTTTGAGCGACGTCGATTTTATGTATTTTCCTTTTCCGATATACATGCTTTTGCTTTGCAGCGTTGTGGTTTTAATTTATTGCTTGGATTCGGCGCACTAGGAGGATCGTCAATTACAACAATACCTGATACTGATATACACTTTTTGCGAGAGGGAGAAAGGATGGAGTTTTACAAGATGGAATTACATTGGAACCGGACATCACACACAAAGAAATAGATCAGATCGGATGGATATTTTGAAAGATCTGTTGCTTGAGATTTTGGGATTGGAGTTTCTTGGATACGGATCATCATCGATCACTTGGATCTGACTGGAGAATTGGAATTGACCAGAAGGGATTTGCAGACAGGCAGATCATTCATTGATCATGGATTGGATATGGTATCGCATTTTTAACAGGCGTTTATAATATACCTTTTTCTTTTCTGCACACCGGGCGATGGCATGGAGTTGGATGCGGGTCTTATAGATATTCAATATGAAGACGTTGATCCGAATTGTGTTTTGAAAAGGGGCTTCAGTTTCGTGATGCTGGGGCGGAGCAGGCTTCCGGATGTGATCCCGCTCCTTGCAAGCACCTGGTGCACCTTCCTATTTACAACAAGAACAACTCCTCTTTCTCTTCAGCTTCCTACCTCGAGTTGTGCAAATATTCAAATATGCACCTGACCATTGCACATCACACTCCCCCCTATTGTTTACAAATCCCCTCTGGCCACTGCACTCTAGCCCTCGCCACCTCCACCCTTTACTCGATGGCTACACATAATCTCAGCCGCCCCGCCAGGATCTCCCACTATTTGCGGCGGCCTCTCATTGGGCAAAGTTCTTATCATACGCTATCGTCTGGCTGTCTGGCTCCCTCTCGGCACGGCTTCAGGGTCCGCTAAAGCCTGTGGCCTGCTGTGTACAACACAGAAATCCCACGCGGCTGCAGACCGACTCCCAGCTGCCTTTTTGCTTTTGCTTTTGCTCTTGCGCATTGCCCTGCCCTGCCCTGCCTGCCATCGTGCCCGAGTCCTCGATCCACCTCCAAGCTTTCCTCTAAAAGAGAATCGAGACGAGAAGAAGGAGAGATCGGACGAATAGACGGATTGAACTTCGGCAGGAAAACGCGGGCCCTTATCGTACGTACGATTTGAGAGCGAGGATAGCACCACCGCAGGCAAGAGCACAATGAGCGCAGCGCACATATCGAGGAGATAGCAAGCGGCGCCGTCCAACCCAATCGAGGACCTCAACCCTGACCCAGTACACCGGCTGCGAACAGCGCGACGGTGCAATAAGTTGAGCTAGAAGTGGAAGTGGAAGTGGCAGTGGCAGTGGGAGTGGGAGGAGCTCGACCATGAATCCAAGGTCGCCGACTACCTCTGCGACAAGTGCAGGTGGAGGGTATCCGCACAAGCGCGCCAGACATGCGTCGCCGGAGCGCAGTGGAGGAGCCCTGAAGCCTACGAGTCCGACGAGCGTGGAGGATGTTGAGATTACCGGGGCTGCGCCGGTGTCTGGAGGGAAGACGGGCCAGAGCAGCAGCTTCAGAAACGTGAGTGCGTGTAATCGCTGCAGATTAAGGAAGAACCGCTGTGATCAAAGACTCCCGTCTTGTGCTAGTTGTGAGAAGGCGAGTGTGAAGTGTGTCGGGTATGATCCTATCACCAAGAGGGAGATTCCTAGGAGGTGAGTTGTGTTTGACCGATCTTCTCTACCAAGTCACAGAAGCGTAATTGGGGTGTACTGGGGAAAGGCTAATAAGGAAAACACAGCTATGTCTTCTACCTCGAAACTCGAGTCGGCTATCTAGAGAAGGTCCTCCAGGACAACGGTATCCCCTTTGCGCCAGCCGAAGTCCTCGACCACGCCTCCAGACCAGGCGCAGATCCAAATACCGTCCAAACACCCAGCGATGATGGCAGACCGCCTTACAATGGCAATGATACAACTATCACTTCCCACAAGCAATCAACGAAAGAGGTAGCATGGAACAAGAAGCAAGATGAGTCTGAGAAGTTGAATAAGCTGGTCTCGAATATTGGCAGTGTTTCTGTACAAGGGGCTTCTGACTCCCGCTACTTGGGATCGACATCCGGAATCTCGTTCGCAAGAGTCGTCTTCGCGGCAGTGAAGTCATCGGTATCAGGCACGAATAGTGATAGGAGCGGTGTCAGACCCTCAAGGCTGGTGATTAAGGATAAACCAACCGGCACATCGATGCGAGACTCTTTCTTCGGCCTGCATACCCGACCGACCATTAAACAAGCACCTTTCCCGTCCAAAGAAGTTGGCTCAAGGATGGTGAACTTCTACTTCGAGCACGCGAATCCGCAGATACCGATTCTACATAGACCGGAGTTTATGAAGATGTTTGAGTTGGCATATGCGGACGGTGATGCGAGAGTTAGGACGCCGAGGGAGCTGTATATGCTGAATATCGTCTTTGCGATTGGGTCCGGCATCTTTCTGGGCGATTCGGGGGATCAAGAAGCGAAAGAGGATAGGGAAGAGAAACGCAGTAGGTCGGGGTTGGATAAGCAGTGCCAGCCGGAGGAATATCATGCTTCCGCCATTGTGCATCTTGAAGCTTTATTAGGCTCGGCGAGCTCAGTTGATCGCCCTGATGGATTTGGTGGTGGATTGGAGGAGTTGCAGGCTGTGTTGTTGTTGGCTGGGTTTGCGCTCCTCAGACCGGTGGCCCCGGGATTGTGGTATATTATTGGTGTTGCAGTGAGGCTAGCGGTGGATTTGGGGTTGCACCATGAGGATGGGAAGGATATTGAGGTTGGGCTTGAAGAGGTGACTGAGAATTTGAAAGGCGAGGAAAGTGATATGGTACGAATGCAGAGAGAGCGGCATGAACGAGAAAGGGGAAGAAGGGAATGGGTGCGAGACTTCAAGAGAAGGTTGTGGTGGTGCACATACTCGTTTGATCGATTGGTGTCAACATGCGTTGGTCGGCCGTTTGGCATTACGGATCAAGTCATTACAACCGAGTTCCCCTCGTTACTCGACGACAAGTACATCACGCCAAATGGCTTGTTGGAGCCTCCAGCTGGCGTTGTGGAGACGAGCTACAAGCATGCTGCATACCACTACTTCCGACTCAGGTTGTTACAATCTGAGATTTTGCAAGTGTTGCAACATCAGCAGGCCCAACACGCTCGGGCTTCTGGTCTCAATGAACGGAATCCGTTCATGCACACCACCTTACCCTCTCCCTTCCTCTCGAAGTTTGATAGCTTCAGATCATGGCGAATCGATATCGACAGACGATTATGGGAATGGAAGACTTCTGCTCCTACGAAAAAGGATACAGGAGTCGGATTCTCAGTCGAGTTCCTCGAGCTCAATTACTGGCAATGCGTGATTATGCTCTACAGACAGAGTCTGAGTGTGCCACAGATGTTCGAGGGAGAATACAATACCAGTGAAGAGGTCAATAGCCCAAGCATACATAATGTTGAGCTGAGGGAGGACGAAGAGCGGGTGTTTTTGAAGGTTGCAGAGGCGGGACAGAGAGTGTTGAGATTGTATAGGCAGTTGCATCGTGTGCATCTTGTTAATTATACTTTCTTGGCTACTCATCATTTGTTCATGGCGGGGATATCGTTCTTGTATGCTATTTGGCATTCGGCGATTGTGAGAAGTCGACTGGTAAGTTATCTCTGTTGTACTGAGAAGTGTGGGACTAATGGATTTTGCAGACCATGGATGAAGTCGACTTCACAATCCTAGCAGCAACCTCCGTCCTTGGCGATCTCATCGAGAAATGCCCACCAGCAGAAGCCTGCCGCGACGCCTTCGACCGCATGTCCAAAGCGACAGTCCAAATGTGCATGTCAACCACCGGCTTCAGCTCCTCTTCAAGCCTCAGTACCCGTCGCCGCTCGCACTCCCAAAGCCACCAACACCACAACCAAAGCACTGAAACCGACTACTTCGACAAGCATTACCAGCGGCAAAGCCGCGGCCCCCAAAACCAAAACTCCTCGCGACCAAAACCGCAATTCGATATGGGTCTCAACGATCTCCTCGGCTCCCCCCAAAATGCAACATCGACAATGCAGACCCCTCAACCGCCCTCCTTCCGCCCTAACTCGCAGAACAGTATGGGTGCACCTTCTTCCAACAAAGGCGGCGTAAAAATGGAGTTCGAACCTTACAACTCCTCCGCAACACCCTCTACCATAACAGGCCCTACCCGCCAAAACACATCCAACTCCCAATCCGCTTCGCAAACAATAGGCAACTCGCCCTCCGACTACGCCATTTCGCCCCCTCTATCCGCCTTAGACACCTCCGCCATCGACCCCTCTTTACTCCCGTCCCCACAAACGACGTTCCAGACTCCTGGGGGCTATGGGCAGAACAATGCTTTTGGAGGGGCAGCGGAACTGCAGTTCCCGTTTCAGAATGCGCCGGGGATGGACTTTCTGCAAGGGGGCTGGGATGCAGGTGGGTTTGATGGAGGGTGGAATGGTGATCTTGGGATGGGCACGGGATTGGGTTGGGATGGAGGAGCCGGGGATCATGGGGATGGTGGAGGGGTGGATCTTTTTGATGGGTTTTTCTTTGGGGGGACTGGTGGGTTCTGATCATTTGTTGGATGGAAAGAGGATATGATGGTGATAGTGGTGGGATGACACCGCTTACTTGGTACCTAATGTGGGAAATGGAAAAGGGCGGGAAAATCAGGAGGGGTCATACACGAGAGGGAAAGGAGCATATGGTTTGTTATAGCTGTGAAACCACAATAATTGTGTATCTAGCATGGGGTTCATGGTGTATGATATTTGGTGCCAGGACAATATACGCTCTGGCTAGGAGCTAATCCGCTATTGCATGCCATGGATTTGGCCATATCTTAGCTTGAGAGGTGTGAAAGGGCTTGAAAAAAAAATGGATTGAGTGACAGAATATTGAGAGATTGCTTGTTGAAGATAAAGTCGGGGTGAAAGTGTGATGTGTTTGCATTTGTGATCGTGATGCGGGATGACAGTCGATGCTGCGGTTCGAGATTTGGAGGGAGAAGGAGGGGAGAGATTTAGTACAAACGGCGTGAGACTTCACGAAAAGAGAAGGGAGAACTTTGAGATGTAGAGAAGGTGGAGGGTGTGGTGTCGATGGGGTGGATGAAAGATGGTGGAAGGAGCGGAGGACGCGAAGCGCTGTGAGACAGATGAAGGATAGCTGGGGGGGGGGACGCCAAAAGGTTAATGATGATTCGACTTTGAAGCCGGATATTGAAGCTGTAGTGCCAGGATCGAAATCTACTTCGAAATCTCATTGTTGCATTCCGAATTCGAATACTAGGTACGGTGTCCCACAAACACACATCGCATACGGTTTTCAGGGCCTGTGATTCACTACAAGGCCACGAGTTCTGTTCAAGGGGTCTGACTGGCTTTCACTTTATACTAGGAGCTCAGGACTCGAGGATAGACTTGACCTCAATGTCGTAAGTCGATATCGGAGATCGATTGTGACTTGCTGTAATTTCAAGGACAATCGTTCACTTAAATGCTAGAAATCGGCTGATAGTAATCACTTCTGTAAGGAAAAATCTTCTGACAAGTAGCAACTGGACTAGACCTCGCGGTAAAGCAGAGGTTGAGAAGCTGCCAGAACCATATAGACGCCGGGAATTTTTTTATTTCCGATCAAATAGGAGCTAAGCCCTTCTATCAAGATATAAAAGTCTATTGTGGTATCAAAGCCATGGCCGTGATTAATAACACAGCTTCAACGGTGGATATGGATCAGTAGTTATCGTCGTCATCATCCATGCGCATACTTTCGTTGTAACTCCGTTTCAGGGACCTAATATCCAATTTGTGGATCCGCCCCACATTCATCACCTTGATGTTGTGTTGCACCGTATACACCTTTCCAAAATCAATGCGAGACATGGGATCAAGTGTCTCGCCCTCTACTTCAAGAACAATTCTAAGAGCATACTTGCCAAGCAATTCACCAGGGGCCGCATCAGGTTCAGATTCGTTTGCGTCATGTACTATTGCATGGTCCGATGCTCGAACACCTGCCTTGGTAGCACCTTGGCCCCCGTACGTCAGGATGGGAAGGCACAGACAGCAATGTAGTCGCTTCCGTATAACCACAAACCTCCGAATCTTAGAAAACGCGAGCTGCCCAAACGCCACTGTGTGTGAGGTGTAATTATCCAGATCATTCGCTGTCTCTGAGGCTGGCTCGGTCCAGAGGACTTTGAAGACCCTTCCGATCTGGAAGAAGCGGGAGGGTTGGTCTCGGATAGTGAATCCTGCGATGGTCAGGGTATGTGATTCAAGGGAGAAGCTTTGCGTACGTGGATCAAGCTGGTCTGCTTGTTGAGCGAAACTTGGACTAGCGATTGAAAGTGTCCCCAATCCAGAGACAATATCAGGGATTGCTTGTTGACCGAAACTTGGACTAGCAACTGGAAGTGTCCCCAATCCAGGGGAATAGGAACTTGGTTCACGTTGTGCGTCGTAAAGCTTTGGTGGCGAGAAGTCTAATGGAGGTTGATACGTGGTATGGTCTTCGGAATGCTGAGCGTATGCCGAAGGCCCAGACTGAGTGACTGGTTCGAATCTGGGAGCTGCGTTGCTCGACTTTTCGATAGAATCGCCGTAGTCATATTCGTATTCGCCTAGTCGAGTTAACAATTCATTTCCAACTCGGCTTTCAGCAGAGGTTTGACATACCATGACGATCTAGACGATATCGTCGAAAGCATTGCCGGTTCTCTTCCCATTCCCATTCCGACCAATCGGTGGGGTATTCCGAGCGTTTGGCTGAACTGCGTGAACTTCTTTTATGTCTACTCGACATGCCTCCAGATTCAAGCCCTGGAACACCTCCAAAGCTTGCGCCTCAGCGCAGCGGTGCAAAGCTTCCTCGATAGAACATAAGTATGGAACCTGCGTCCATAGCCTCCCACCCACCGCAAGTCGTTTGGCAGAGGGATATGGTGCTGCGCTCGGAGCGTGGAAGGTACAGTTTCCAGTCGGTGGTGATGCATTGGGGAAGAGGCGGCCATGTGTTCCAAAATAAGGCTGCAGAGATGGCAAGGGTCAGGCACCGACTATTTATCGGGAGCGCGAATTTAGCATTCGCAGAGAGCAGCCCACTTTCCGGAAACACGAGAAGTAAAATATACGATCAAATAATGGTGTTGTCAAGCAAAGTTGCAGATTAGTTATTCGTGTCGCATTGGAGTGTCCAACCTTTTTATCTCACCTGTCATGGCTGCTGGCACATTCGCGTGCTGGCCTCACTCGTTCATCCCACACTGCCTGGCTCGAGGCTTGGAATACAAGCAAGGCGGTTTCCACAACCATGCCGATTTGGTCGAATACATAACCTTGCTTCAAGATGCAATATAATCTGCCTCGCCATCATGAAGATATCGGTCCGCTGTGTTGTCTCGTCCTGTGCATAGTGCGCTGAACTTGCAGAAGCGACGACGACCTCACATCCTAGGGGTAAACGAGGGCCAGTCGCTCTGCGCATACCCTGCCGCTGTGCGGTGGCCTTGATACCAAGGCGGTCGTGCATGTTCAGGCCGAGCTGATGCGGAGACATACATATATTTGGTGCCCAGCTCATCCCAACCTCTCGCCCTGCGCGTAAGCCGAAACCTCATTGATCGTCGGACTCGTTTGCAGAGACTCTCACCGCCATCGCCAAAATGCCATTGAGGCGCTCCAGGAAGATGCTCCACGAGACCGACTGCCTCAACTGTTGGCTGCAGGAAAAACCAGTCAGTTACTCGTTTTGAGCTTTTGGGACCAAGCTGACGTGAATTGAATCAGTGTTCTGTTGGGACTCTGATTGGGAATTGCATTCCCTGTGGGAACTCTGAGCCGGTCAAACCGCTTGTCCCATTTGATGGGTTCTTCACCAAAGGTAGTGCATCCTTCTCTTCCAAAGGGCTCGTCGCTTACCTCAATATAGACATGAGTGAACACCTAATATCGCTTGGAACCAAGCATGATTTGGACCTTAGTTCAGAAGGAGATGTCCTTTCGTTCGCAACGATCGAACCAAATGGTTGGGCAAATTCTCTCCAGCTCCAACTTCGTGGGGATTTTTCACTGTCCAATGATGATCTGAGGACCCAGCTGGATCAGATTGTCTTGTCATACTACGTTCCACGAATTTCCTACAGGATTCCAAGGGCCAACTTGCCACGAAGCGCCCTTTACGCCAGAGGATATTTGTCCATCCTCCTACCAAGAAACCTTGCCCAAGAGACAATGACATTCTCTGACTCGTTCCGCCTATCCAACGTTATTCTTGGACGATTGGACAAGAGTATCGAGGAGGTCACGAATGCCGCCGATGCGGACAAGAGTCAGGATGACGAGGCATCCAAATATGAAGTGTCTGCTGCTGTTACCATCCTGTATACTGGCTTGGCAGACGCATATAAAAGGCTGCAGAATGGCGATGGAATACCCCTCTGCGTAGGTTTCTTCAAATTTTTGAGTATAAAACAATGTCTAACACTCTTAGGGTGGTGAAAAAATGGCCAGTCTATTGACTGAGAGAATGAAGTCTACTTTGAATTACCTCACCTTCATTCTATATCGCCGAGGTATCAATTGTAATCGAAAATGGGCCTCGAATCTCGATGGCTCGCTGGAAAATCTTCGATCCAATGTCGAGATCTCAACACTGAGTATAACAACGGTCAAACAGACCCGCTTGACCTATGCTAGTACCCTCTCAGCGACTATTTCGTCCTCGGTGGCACTCCCTCCACCGAGTACAGATGAACCTACCTTCAAAGGCATTCATGCAAGCACTGCACATTTGTCTCCCGGTAATAGCTGGAATTTCGATGATATAGCATCTTCACCCGCTCCTCATATAGAAGGATCTACTTCACCCGAGGTTGACTCCCAGCCTTCAACTACTTTCGATCTCAGTCCACCTCCACCACTCAATCGTGCGAAGTCTGCTCCTCACTTCCTTCTATCATCTTCACTTCCACTCGGAGATGCATCTCTTGATCTCCAGAGGATGAGCAAGGAAATCACGGCTCAAGCTTCAGTCGACCACCGCTATTTTAACCCCTGTAACAGCTGGCTTATGCAATCGATGACACGCGATGTCAATCCTGAGCCAGTTTACTCTTATAACGACAATTTGCTGCCGCCTGCGAGGCCTCAGCAACGAAACTTTCTTCCTGAAATGCCATCCTACGTTTCCGCAGCGAGCGCGTTCTATGCACTCGCGGGAACGCCTGGGGAAGTGGCATCTCAAATATCAGTACCGTCCGGTCCCAACTCAAGGACCAATTGGTCTGAGCATCCGCATACGTGGCGTCAGTCCTGAGCCATTCTTCTACCTACACATCAGCTCCGCTCTTTAACCCGGACCAAATTACTATGTTACAATTACTTTGTTTAATTTTCGGGATTTCATTCCTTTTCCGATGAAAAGATGATTTGCGATGATAACGACAGATACTTGCAAACAGACTATGGCTAGATTGGATCATTGCCGACTTTCCTTCTAATTTATTCACTTCGAAATGTTTTTTTTCTTCTTCTTTTTTGGTCTTTGTAGTCTGACTTTTAGAACGAAAATTACATCATCGCACAAATTAATTAGAGATTTCAGTATCTCACTAATTGCTTTACGGGTATTTCCGAGCATGAACAATACTTGTGTTGAAGAGTATTGCATCCACCAAAGAAGTGATTCAGGCCAACTCACCAGTCTCTTCGAAAGGATCGATCGCTGCTATTGTAGTTTCTTATTTATCCAATGGGGGGGCAGCAATTGACAACCTCTGCACCTTTATGTTTAATATTCTTGTCTCTGCACTTTCAAGATTAGTGGTTAATCATGGACTCTCTGATCACTGTCAAGGTCTTGCTCCGTATCTTTTTGGTTGTGGCGTTCTGGATTTGCGTCTCCTGTGGAAAACGTGGGAGTCGCAAAAAGCCCTTTGCAGTCCTTGAAAATGCCACCTCGCTTCTGGCTACTATTCTCTCACTTTCACAGGCCTCATCGATCAGTCACCAATAATCAACCTATTGGCAGTATAACACTCACTCCTGAAGCTCGATCAATCGGCATGGGTTCCAGAGGGGATAATATTCTTTGTGAGGTTCTGAGATCGAACTGAGCCGTTGCCTACGTGGCGGTCTCTCCGGCAGGCTCCGTCCAAAGAGTTTTGAAAACCCGGCCAATCTGGAAGAAAAGTGTTGGTTGAAAGATGACGGCAAGATCAATCGATTTGACGCATAGGGTTTTCTCATCTCGAGGTGGAGGCTTCAAACTTGATCTTCTCTCATCCACAATCACAGGGGGACGGGTGGATGGTGGCAGCATGATTGAGAATTTCTCACGGCTACAATCTGAAGATTGTTCTCTTCCCCGTCTGTTCAGTCTCCTCTCGTGCTCCCGGTCGTTCTTTGCGTCGTCGGGTTTGTTGTGCAACTCTGCATTCTCCCGCTTCATCAAGCGGTTCTCCTTGTTGCTGCCTGTAAGGAGTTGATTCAGCTTTAAATTAGCAGCTTCTAGCAGTCTAACCTTTTCATTTGCAGCATCAAGCGCTTCCCGCAAAGCGAATAGGTCCAGTGCCCAATGAAGGGCGATTAGAGATAGAGCTGTTGTAAAGATAGAACTCGTCCAGAGGTCTGTTTCCTTCTAATCATCTTTCTCGGGGTGGCATTATCACTCAACTTTCAAGCGTCTTGGCATTCCACCTTATGTGGACTGCTTAGTCATTCGCAGCCACGAACCCATGCTGCTTGGCAAAAGAAGCTGTAAGTCTGCATCTCGTTGTCTCACTCGATTCTGTGCCGATCATTAAGTCTAACTTCCGATGCTTTCATGGCCGGGAACAGCACATTCGTAAATGTGATTGCATATAATGGAGCATTGAACGGCAGTACATGGCGCTGTCCATACGACGAAAACTGCTGCTCGGCTTCGACCTTCGTTCCTTCCTTTGGGTCCATCTTCGTGGCGCAGCACCGCCATCATCCCGAATACACCTACTACTCTCAGCTCCTCCAGACATGAATTGTCGATTCAAATTGCGCTGGAGGCGGAGCTGCCAACAAAGCACTTTGGGATATGAAAGCGCGTGTCACAGGTATCGAAATATGAGGTGTACTGGATCCCATACTCAGGTTTCCTTTCTCAATCAATATGGTTCTTGGCCTAATTCATTGCTTTCACATCTGTTCGACAGCGGGACGATTCGAACCTGTGTTTGATGACAATATGGTACGCGTCTTGCCATCCAATGTAATAATGCCCGAAGTTCTTCTACAAATTTTTGACCGCTTTCATGTTGTGAATTCTTCCTGTTCTCCCTTCCGAACCGTACTTCGTGCTGATGACAATAATAGTTATCTCTAAAGCATGGCAATCTATTTTATGTTACGAGGAAAAGTAAGTGTAAAATATAGCGATGAATACTACTGACACTTCAAAAACCTGACCCCTTCCATTGAATTTACTTTATCTTAATCACAATGAGGAACTTTAATAGCAGTCAAGTATACGTTTTTAACGGGGAAAAAAGCCGTTGTAAGAATTTTTGAACTGTTTTGTGAGAAACGACATAATACTGCGAAATGAAGAATTTGTAAATGCTACAAAAAGGGTATAATGCTCCACTTTACTAAACTCCATGTTTGTCCCTAATGCGAAAGGACTGGACGTCCACAGACTTCCTGAAAGTGAACTCCTTCTAGCCTTCCGTGCAAATGCTCCTCTAAATTTGGGTCCAACTCCTGCCAAGAATACAAGGAAAAGTTCATGTTGCTCCGTTCATTTCCCGTTTCACCGTTGCCTCCGTCTCCCTTCTACATCGGCCATGATCCACATAAAATGCTCAGCCTAAGAGTTTTGCTCCCATCGCTCAAGGGCCGACAATGCTATTCACAAAATATTCCTCAAGTTGTGGCAGAAAGTCGTTTGGAATTCGGCCAACTTTGAGGACCTTGATATTGTGCTCAACCGTGTACACTCTCCCAAAGTCAATCCGCGATGTGGGGTCGATAGATTCTCCAGCTTCCTCGACCTTAATGGGGAATGGCTCTTTCGTCAAGTTCTCGTTTGGTCCAACTTCTGGTTCTCCGCCGAGGGGATACACTGCAGCGTAGTTTTCGGCCTTGATCCCGTCTTTGGAGGCACCTTGTCGGTGATATGTGTTGAGCATGAGGCATAGGCAACAGCCTTGCTTTTCTCGTGCAACAACAAAGTGACGGATTTTTGTGAATGCGTTCTCCCCATATCTTGATGGAATCACAAATGCATCCTCACTATTGGTGACGTCTCCAGCGGGTTCTGTCCAGAGCGCTTTGAAGACTCGCCCTTTCTTAAAGAAGCGTGAGGGGAATCCTATGACCTGGTAGCCTGCCAATGAACTAACGAGACGTGTCGATCTTTGACCTGTATCCATATGGTCATTCAGCTTTCCAGAAGAGCTTCCAATCCCCACATTTGACTCGCGATAGAACATTGGCTCAGGGTCCGACTCCTTCGCCGTTGTAATTGGGTAGTCCATATCCATTTCATAACGTCTCCTGGACGGGCTCTTTTCCTTGGCCCTGGAGTTGCCCTTGCGACGATGATAATCAGAGCGTCCCCGTCTCGAAGTCTGGGAATTCCATTTCCGCTTCAAAGGAGAGTTTGCTTGAAGCGAAGGAAGGGATTCTTTGGAGACCATGCCAATATTCAGCACTCGGACATCCATGTCAACGGAGTATATTTTGTTGTAATTGATTCTCGATAAGGGAGACAAGGTTCCTTCTGGCCCTTTTTGTTCCGAGATGACACGGATTGGGTCCTTCGTGAGATCTTCATAATGTACTTGGCCAACCCCTGTTACTTCCGACACTTCTTCCGGGCAATGCCTGCTTGTATATATGATGGCATGCTGCTGTCGATTAGGAAGGTTTGGGTCGAGGGTGGCTTGCTCGGAGTAGGTCTGAACCGGCCTGCCTATGAATAAGCATAAGATATGAAAGATAGCAACGTAAAAAAAACGAGGAGGAAACACACAAACATAGAACACAATCATGATCCTCTTGGATGATTACAAATCTTCTGATCTCGGAGTATTCACTCTCATTCAGCCATGTTGTACTAATATGAGAACCGTTTCGAGTTCCGCCGCCAGGTGAGACTTGATGGCCACCGGGTTCAGTCCATAGCATCATAAAGACCCTGCCAAATCTCCAGAACCACTTTGAGTCTTTCGATGGAACAACACGATATCCTATGTTTTGAATACTATCAGAGCCAACGTTCCACGGGGGTATAAATGAACCACTAACTTGGGTCAAGGATTTCGTAATCTTTACTGCCTGGCTCTCGATGAATTATCTTTGGATGTGAATCATTTGGCTTTGGATCTGTCAAGGACAATCCAGAGAAGGCAGACGTGGCATCCAAGTAATCTTGTTCTTGAGGGCCTGAATAAGAGAGGTGGGCATTATGATTTGCCGTAGAATTTGCCGGTGAATCGTAGTACGCTGACGAAGGATAATTGCTGCTAGCCAGCGGATAGTGGCCCCCTGTTTGACTTTGCCCGTATGTGTTCGATAAATTCTGCACGTATCCTCCTTGGTCTGCGGGCGTGCTCCAATTCGTATAGTCTATGGCTGCATGCGGCGCAACATAGCTTTCTCCTGAATCTGTGAACTTATTGGAGGTCAAATAATCAGGTATTGCTGCTTGCATGCCCGAATAGGATTCTTCTGAGGTTGATATTGGATTACACCCGGAATCCAGAGTATACTGATCTTTAAACTGGTTAGCGATGAAGAATACAATACGCAAATGAATATACCAACTGTCGAAGACGCCTGGGGATCTTGGCGTTGTAGCATTCCCAGCAGCCTGGTTCAATGGGGGGTCTGTTCTATACTCCGTAGCACCGGAAGCATTGATTCGACGTGATTCCCAGTATCCTGCCGAATTCCACTCCCATTCTGACCAGACAGTTTCCGGAGAGGAGTACTGTCCTTTGCCTTTGGCCGCATATTGTGACGTGTGCGACATGATCGTGAATTTTGGCGGATGGAGAATTCAGCTCCGGATTGCTCAGTGACTGCGAGCACATTCCGCAACTGTGAGAGCATGCTAGGAGCGGAACTACCCAGCTCGTAGAATAGCGCTCAAGTCGAATAACGAGGGATCAGGTGGCTGTACTATCGACATTGGTGAAATCTTGGAGCATTTACCTGAAATTCGAGTGTCGTGAACGTCTCCACCTGTAACCTTAACAAGTCAGCAAACGCCACTCACGTGATATTATAGAACAACCTAATTTCAAAATGTGAATCATTCCTTGCATAAAAAGCAAAAATGTAATCATTCTTTGAGCCTATTGATAGAGCAGCCAACCAACAGGACTCTAGTCCTATGCACTCACTACTCGGCAAGTTGGAATATCACCAAGTGGTTTGGACTACTTGCTACCACGAGCCCGGCTAAGCAGAGTGTCAAGACTCGAGAACGCAACAGGAAAAGCAAGAAGGGCGAGCACGGCCATTATTCAGCTTGGTCAATCCAGCATATTTGCTACTCGTTTTCAGTTTATCTTCAGCAGAGATGTTGAGCGAGAATCATTTCTTTGTTCCTGCTCAGCCGGAAAGATGAACAATGAACATCGTACTAAGGACTCCATTTTGCAATTCCTCACTTCTCCTGCCAGAGCGAACTTATCAGTTCCACCTCCAAAATTCTGGGGAATCGGAGGATACCGTGACGGTTAAATGTCCAGCCCCTCTGTTTCCCTCACAGAACCAATCGCACCCTGGTGCATTCATTGAGCGGTGATGATTACCATCCAATAGGGACACCCACACTGCCTTCCTACCCTGGAGCGGCTCACACGTCCACCGTGACAGCTGCCTGGAGTCTGTCTCCCCAGGCCTTTTGACACATCCGTCGCCCCTCTTCAGACTTGCACCACAAACACCTCACTTTCTCATTAACAACATAATCCACCATCCCAGTTCCGGCTCACCACCTCCACAAGTCTGCTCACAGTTCTCCTCAGCGTCAATCCACCACTGCCCAACATGAATCGGCCCATTCCTGGAGAGTTGGAATGTCCACTATGCGTGTTTCGAGGCCACGTGGTAAGTTTAGGCCGAAAGAGAGACTCCCAACGACCATCAGCCTGACATCATGCAGTGTGATAGACCTCCTGATGGGCCTTGCCGCGAATGCAGGAGTAACACCATTTACCATATCAACGGCACTCAGCAGGCCATTCGGCATGCCGACCCCCTTGACCTTGCGGGTAAGTTCCTGGGTATTTCAGAGTATCTATCATCAAGGATGCTGATGCAAAAGCTAGCTGCTCGCTTTGAGATACATAAGAGAAGAGTACCCGGCTCTTTGATCAGCCTCAGTGCTCGAGGAGTCAACACGAACAATCTGAACGTCTATATAAAATCGTCTACCGGACGCCGCCATGATTTCTCCCGACCAGTGATCATTTCTGGAGACTTCACTACACACAATCTAGGAGTTAGGAAACTACTCGATACTGAGATTCGCCATTCCTTGTCGGCCAATATAAAGGCCACGGTAGTCAATGTATCGATCATTGCCAAAGCCTGTACGGCATGTGGATATGCTGCGTTTCTCTGTTCCATAACCAAAGTGACTGAGACAAGTTACACAGCCATGAATGGACTCGAGGTAGCGAATAGCTACCAGCACGACAACTCGAACGCTTTGTTGAGAGACTTCATTGTCTGTCGACTTCGAGAGCTAATCGACCAAGTCATGAAGGCTGCACGCACGATTCACACCAATCAAAACCAGCAGGAATGTTTGAACGCGTATGTAGCTAGCGCGATTCTCCACTACAAACTCAAATACATCAAAGAGAACCTCGAGGATGGTCACCTCCGCACTCTGGTAAGCTGCCAGATCTTCGTTCCTCCTGCTCTGACAAGGTCACTCACTAACTTTGCTAGTTACCAAGAACTCTGAAGAGAATTCTAGTACACTGGTTTGGGTCATTGGGAACCGAACTTTTGCAACGCCTGCGAGAAGGCTGCGGGAGATATGAGTATTGGAGATATACCATCCACGGCTCCTTGGACAGCCTTCGTCGACACGGCGAAACGTATGAAGTGCACCTCTGGCTGCAACGAAACAAATGGACAACGGACACTGGCCCTGCTGTCTTCTCTCCTCCGATTCCTACTCTTCCACCCACCCCCGAAGATGCTCCCGAGACTTCGGATGCTACTTCCCATATAGCCGCCGCGATGACTCCGCTCGTCGTCGCTGGCGCTGATGGACGATTGTCATGCGTCGACCCCAGTCCGCGGTACTACAACACCGCAACTGGGCAAACCGACCCCACGACATCACCACTGGACACTCGATATGACCCGGACTACGGTCACTATTCGGGACAGTACCCTTTCTGACGAGACTCTAAACTGAGTCGCCCATTCGGTGACCCGTGTCATCGTTTGGTATTTCCTTACTCTTATGTCGTTAATTTTTGACCTCTTGGATTTGCTTTCTACCTCGTGCAACAGCTTTTATTTCCTTACCTGTTTTAACAACGGGATTCCTGGCGCGTATATAACTCTATAGAGAATACAACATTCCACCAACTTGCTCCCAAAATAATGCACATGAAGCTGTTGAGTAGTGTCGAAAGTTGAAAACATTTCATGATCTGGGGCAAGAAAGGCCTTGGTCGTACTCCCCCCCCCCCCACACTTAGATGTGTAACAGTTGGTCCACAGAGCACAGACATTCTACCATACAATATACCCCGGTCAAGAGGGCCATTGTTACATTAATTGGGGGGGAGAATACGAGAAATCGTATTTCGGTCCCCACTCGCTTATGCTCTCGAAGAACATGTTTGAGCTCTGCTCAAACCAAGGTATATGCAGTTAAGTCTCATTACTGTAGATCCAACACCGAGACTACGATGAGTTGCTTTTCAGATCCAGGCCCGAGCAATCAACTCGCTTATTTCAATGCTTCAGTTTACTTCAAAAATTCAACCCCTTCATCTGAATTTCTTCTATCCTAATCAGAACAAAAATTAACTTCAACAGCAGCAACCTCGATACCTTCAATTCTTTTCAATAGAACACCAGGCTGCTCTCGAGGAGTTTGAACTGTTCTGGGAGAAATAAGCGAAGCCTCGTGGGGATATCTCGGGAAACTCACAAGAAAGCCCTGGTAAACACGCTAGTCTCAGTGAGTTCAAGCCTGAAATCGAAATTTGAACGCTAATTATGGTTGACGGTGAAGATCCTCAGGTATAATAGGCAGAAGTGAACCAAGTACCAGGTTGACGAATTACCAGGTGTAATTCACGTTACATAGGAACAGAGGAGATTTCTAGAATTGTAATTATTTCTAGAAGAGAAGCGTGTAGCTCGTAGAAGCTTGGGAGCGAGGCTAAATACTCCTTAGCGCCATAATTAAGCGAAACGTGTGCCTAAGGCTGAAGCGAATTTTCCCCCTCACAACGGAACCCTCAGCCCTGGAGTTTTAGTGGACGTCCGCCAACCCCTGAGTCACGTTGTCGATCAGTTGTGATTTCATCAGCAACAGGCTAAACTTCAGCGCGCTCATTACATGAGACACCAACTCGGCACAACAGAAGAAAGGAATCCTTAGGAGGATAACCGACGATTATTTCTGATTTCTCGCACATCAGCATTGAACTGCCCAGTTTACCATTTTTGACCCTCTGCACCTGCTCCTTTTCAGGGTTCTCTCACGTGTCGCGGTTCGCGCTCAGCAATCAATGCTGGTCTTGTTCGCTGGTTCTTAACCCTTCCTCGAAATTTCGAAAATTGGACCGGAGAGCCGCGCAGACGGAGACGCCTGTGAAATTGCCTGCTGTGTTGTCTCAATACTCTGACGTGGTGAGAACCTGAGAATTCTTCCTGCAGACGCCATACGCCTCGGAACGGCTGTTGAAGCATGGAAACCAATCGCTATTCTGGTACCCCAGCCAAGTACGCCTGCCTAATTTTTGCGGCATAAACTGCATTGGGCACATTGTCAGAATTGGGTTCTACAAAATAATCGGGACCCCGTCGCAGGGGGAAGGATTAACCCAACTGTCGTTGTGGAATAATTGACATTGAATCGTGTCGTCGGATGCTCATTCGTACCCCACCGAACCTAACGATCAAAAGAACCTGATGGGTCGGCGTTCACAGAAGCCGAAGGACGATGAGACAGGGTGTTGGAAATGCGAGCTGCAAGGTCTACAAGTAATTACAACTGCCGAACAGATTTGAGGTCCAAGAGAAGCGCTGACTTGGACATAGTGCGATCGGGGGACCTGCCAATCGGGGTACTGCATTCCATGTGGACATGCTGGTGTGATATATTCTCCAAATCATTTTGAGGGGTTCTTCAGCTATGGTATTTCGGCCTTCTGTTCGTGTGTGTATCTTGTTCACTGACCCAAACCCAGCCTTGAGAGATCACATGCTATTGTTAGTGGGAAGGAAGTATTTGGGCCTCAACGCACGCAAAGATGTGCTTGAAATCGACATCACCCGCTCAAAAGGGCTGTCAAAACCACACCAACTCGTCACATGGAGCAAAGTCGGTCTTTCCAATAATCGTCTAAATTATCAACTCGATAAGATCGTTTTTGAGTCTTACCTCCCGAACGTTCGTTGCAGAACGGCAACGACTAGTCTCATAACAAGTGCGTTATTTGGGCGAGGGTATCTAACTCTTCTCTTCCCATGCAATGTTAAGGAGGGGGCAGGGATTTTCTCCGATACCATATGCCTCTTTAATCTTGCTTTGGCGCGACTTCATGAGAGTATCGATGAAGTTACGAACGGCTTCAACCAAGACGTCCAAAGGAATGAGAGATATTGGGCTGAAGCTGCGTCTTCACTAGCCATACTTTATCCTGGCCTGCTACATGCTCAAGACCGCCTCGACGACCATACCACCCAGCCTTTTTTTGTAAGCTCTTTCCGGCTTACCTCGAGATCCTGTTCGACGACGCTGATCTATATAGGGCGATCTAACACTGGCTGATCTTCTTGCCGGGAGGATCAAGTCAACCTTGGCACACTTCAATCACCTCCTTTGTCATGGAATGCTGAGGTGTGATCTTGAATGGACGTCTGTCCTGGAAGGTTCACTGGAAGATATGCGAACGAACGTGGAGATATCTTCACTAGCAATCAGGGCATTCAAGCAGCACGACCTAATGAGCACGAGGTCTCTTTCAACAAGTAGCTCTGGATCCTCATTGATCTGTCCTACAAACACCCCTCCTTCTTCAATTGAAGGAACTCCCCCTGAAAAGTCTGTCACAGCCAGTTCTGGCATGTCGAGAAGATATGGATGGCTTGACACTGGTCCCAGACCACCATTGACCACTTCTACGAAAAGGCCTGCCCCACTGTGGGATCCCTTCCAAGACCCGATAGTCTTCCACCTCGGTCCATCTTCTCCAACACTCAATGGCAGGCATACCACGTTCTCAAAGTCCGCTACAATCCCATACGGGGATACTTTCAATATCTCAGCCCCCCCACCACTTTCAACAATATACACATCACAGTTGAATGACTTCAGCGATCCTGTGCCGCTGGAACCATTTCCCCAGGACAACGGCTCCAGCGATATTACATCGCCGGAATCTTTTCCTAATTGGCAAGCCCTAGGCATGTCTTCAGACGTCCCTAGTGAAATAGAGCAAATCCACTCTCACGTATCACTCCCATTGTCACACACGAGTGACTTGGGAAAAGAAACCTCTGATTTGGATTCTCGCGACCTATTTTCAGACCCACAATACCCATATACGTCTATTATTGGATGACGAGGAAAGGCTCATCCAATGTAACACCACCAGACCCCTTCTCACGTATCACTCCCATTGTCATGAACGTATGACACTGGAGAAGAGACCTCTGTTTTGGCTTCTGGCGACCTATTTCCACGAACTGTCTCCGACAGGTCGAATCGACAGTTCGAACTGTCCGCGATACTACTAATACATCGAAGGCGGTGAGGCGTGTTTCAGCGCTTTAACAGCCTCCCCGCAGTTCTCATCGTTAATATTACTTCGTTACTCAATGTGCAGTAATTTTGGTAGTATTCGAGGCCAAATTGCCTCGGCCCGATACACCATAATCAAGTATTATCAAATATGAAAAAATGGCACTATTCAGAGATTTAGGAATATATAGTCGCCACGCCTTCTTGACTTAATATACACAATTTTTTTGGTACGGAATCGGTTACCAATATACTACTATTGCGTCTATCTCACTATGTATGCTAATTTTTAGAGGTTGAGCGGTAAGTACGACTAGTAACGGAGGAGAGAAATAGTTGGCAATTATATATGCTCGTTGGTGCCCGATTATATAGTAATTCCCACCAAAAACCACTGCTATTGCATATCGACTGTCTAGCGTCTCCCTCATCTATTTCACATCTTATCGAATTAGTTTTCCTTATAATTAATCCTTTGCTCAAATTAGTCTTTCCTATATATAGAAACGAGGTGATTAGTATAATAACCTCCGTGATTTAATACTTGGAGGCTAGCAGAGGAATAGTTTTAGTCAAATACATAATTATTATATCAGTAAAGCTATTTTTGGTCTATATATATATCTTCATTTGAGACTAAGAATTATGGTTTAGCATAATCATTCATCAAATTACAATGGGAACCCCACCTAAATTTGATAGGCGACGATATGGGAGCGGCACATTCCACAAGTTCGACCTCTCTGGAGACAGTTCGTATTTCCAGATTGAAATAACAACATCCGCGCATTTCATGGGGAGGAAAAGCTTACCGGTTCGTTTCCTTGAGTTATCGGATTGAAGGGCAGCGTCATGCAACATCGATTTGGTCTTCATTGAGTTTGAATAGCGGCGCAGTCTGAATTTGAACTAGTTTCCATCCATACTTGATCGTGATTTGTGGGAACCCACCCAACTTTGAAGAACTGAGTCTCCAGACAACCTGGTAGATGTATCACTTTAGCATGTAGAACTTAGGCAAATCCACTTCCAGGCTGCTGATGGTGTGAAGATATTATCTTCTCATTGGAAACCAAACAGGAAGAAGATTAGGTACCGATAGAGCGTGGCGGGGCATCAGCCACATGATCGCGTAAGGCTGCGACTGGGCCTAATCTTTTACCCATCCCATCCTCTCTCACCCCTCCTCATACGTACCACAACAAATCTCCATCCACTTTGACAGTATTGAACTCCCTCCCCATACCGAGTCAACGAAGCGCCTTGCAACCAGATGCTGGCCACCGGCTCTCACTAAGTAGCGCCACTATGGCTGTGTGCCAGGCAGCCCAGAGCTGGCTGAGCAGACCTTGCAGATTATCTAGGACCCGCCAGGCCAGCAGGGTACCGTGGAACGATGTCTTCCCGCCGCAAACAGTCTTCACGCCGAGGAGATTATTATTCTATAGCATGGACAGAGTGGAAGTGGAGTGAGGATTGCCAGCGTTATTGGCGTGCTCACGAGGGTAGCGAAGGTCGTCACAATCTTCCCGACCAAAGATGCAGTTCTGACGTGATTCGTAGGGAAATGGGAATATGAATATGCACCATTGCAACCTAAAGGGGCGTCAGATATAAGTGAAGAGATACAAGGGCTGACACTTGACCCTACGCCATGGACTCCGAGAGCTCGATCAACTGCAGAGACTGCAGAATTGCCATCCGTCAGCGAAGACTACCGTCGATACGGAGAACCTCAAAACTGCCCGGAAGACCGACACGGGCCCGAAAACCAGCGCTACCCTGAAGATCTACAAAAACCTGAAGAGCAACAGTACGGTGATGGGCAGCAGTCCACTTTAACCCAATTCTACCGAACAGACACAAGAGAATTTCGATCCAGGAAGGGAAAATCTCGTGGTGTTGAGGAGATTTCGTGTCCTATATGCTCAATGATATTCTATCGAGCTTCTGATCTTGAACGCCATCACAAGACCGTGCATTTGAACGATGGCGCGCGACCCTACCAGTGCCTTGTTGACGGTTGTACTGCAAATGTTAGAAGCTGGACAACGGCAGACAAACTTCGTTTACACGAAAAGACATGGCATGCTGGCAACTTGGACACGCAAAGATCACACACACAGGGGACGTTCCATACGAGCTCGCAACCGGTATTCGAAGTACCTAAGGTGTCATCCTCTGGCTATGGCTTTTCCTACCTAGCGCAGTCCACTACCTACGACCCCCAATCGGTCTCCTCTCCGCAATCGTCTCTGCAAACGCGGAAAGTTTTAACAAAGAATCCCCAGAGGATGCGCGATGAACTCGATTCCAGTAAGTCTTGCAATCCTATACGAAATCGTGCACTAAGAGGCTTCCAAGGGTTTAAAGTTCATAGGTCTAAAGAGTTCGAGTTTGGCAGAGTCTTCAAGGTCTTATGGAGCGAGCCCATGGGAAGCGGTGGTACAGAGATCACTTTCGAAAAAACATCTGCGAAATATGGTGAAAATGCATTCCACAAAATTCGGCGCTTCGTTATCGTCAAACAAAGAAATGGGCACAGCATATGCATTCCCATAGTGACCTATGGTTTTCAAGGCGTACTCAAAAATGGCGTCCGTCCTGAAGACCATGCGATTGTTTACTCTGGCAAATATGAGGTACTCGAAGGTGAGGGTAAATTGCCGTTGCAAAAGCCAATCAGGATTGAGACAAAAGATGCCTCACAGAAGCTAGATCCAAGGTCAAGGTTAAACTACGCCAAACTATATACCGTCGAGCATAACGTCAAGGTCTTGTTCATCGGAAGGGTAGCAAGAAGTCATGAGCAAGAAGTCATTCGGGCTTATAACAACGCACATCCTCCGCTTGATCCTAGCCCGTATGAGCATCAACCTGATACACCTGATGAACTCTTCAGTCATGCGGAGGGGCCTGAACCAACCTATCCAACAGTGCCAACAGTACCAACAGTGCCAATGGCAATACCTACAGCATCATATTCAAGCGGGGCTCAGCAATATTCATCCTCTTATGCTACAACAAATGCCTACCCATACCCAGGGCCAGGAGCACAACCATACACTCATGCAGACGTATACGGCTCTCAACCGGAAATGCCTCATGCGGGACAACAGCAGCAGCCCGAGAACCAGATGTACGATGACGGCTACGATGTCGATTAGTACGCAAGATCAAAATCCGGGGCGAGATTGCAAACATTGGCCAGAAATGGTCACTCTTTCAATATCCGTGAAATTTGATCGCTCTGTAACTTGTGCTGGTACCTTGATGCTGTTGAATAAGAGATCGCAAAGGCAAAGAAGGGCGCCGTCGAGGCTTCAGCGCATAGGTTCACGAAACCCTACATATTTTCGGTACGCACACATTGCCTGTTAATTGAATCAAAAGAAGCAATTTGGCAAATATGAGCTGAAGACTCATGCGGAGAATTTTGCGTGTGGCAGCGATTTCAGAAGGCGTTCACAGTGGAGCACGTCTGGGCTAATATGCTCGGACTAGCTGAGAGCTCACGCAAGATAGACTTACTTTCGGAAGATACGCGATCATATCATAAATGAGATTGTCAGACTAGCATCATCAAACACAGTGAGACAAAGCGATTGATCCAGCGATCCAAGCTTCCTGTGATCTTCAAGGATAAGTGCAGAAGGGATGCCGTGCTTAATTCGGTTATATCATGAGGGAAGTCTAGTCAATTTCTTCAATACATTGTTCATGCTCCTTGGTCACCCAAAGTGTTATTAAACGAGAGGGGTTCTCCAAATTCGGGTCATTGCAAGCACACACGGCACGGCACTTATTCCCAGCGTCAAGACTTCAGATTATGCTCCCCTATGTAACCTACAATCACAAACTCCTAGACTAACAGGTAGACTAAATCAGTCAGTCTTTGCGTCACGATTGGGGAGGCCAGAGGATTTGGCAGGTGTCAAAGTCAGACGCCAGTTTGGGGGCCAAAAGACACCAGCGCTTCGAAAACTGCATGAGGCAGAGTTCTTACTTCTAAGTCGTAAGGACTTGCATGGGCAGTATGCACCCCTGGGTGAGAACGTGTGTAGTAAAGGTGTTAACTTGTTTTAGTTACGGATAAGCAGTGTATGGCTTGTTAGATGACGGGTTGCAATGGCGGCTTGATGCTCGGGGCTAAACAGGAGAGGGTAGTTCTTACGATTGAATTTGAGAATCGAAGGGATTTTAATTATGGACCACGCTCTAAATGTCGATCTACGGGATGGTTTTGTGAGGAGTGAAGTGAACGAATGGCAGATGAAGCTATGCATCTCAAACCGATCCCACACATTGTCTTGGTTCACTTTTCGAGTTCCCATTTCTCTCAGTCCCATTTCCTCCCGCTGCACATCATTTCAATTACCTGTGATTTGCATGTACCATCCTCACCAGGGGTACGGAAGCTCACTAGAAGGCGCATTGCCCTCGCTGAGGGATCGAGCGAGGTCTTCTTCGTCTCGAACTTTGAGCATCGTGAAGTCGCCTACTGAAGAACGAGGGCGTCTCCAAGAGGTGACACAAGGCGTTCCTCGTATTTCGTCTTTGTTCAAGGCGAGGATCCTCGTCTTGCTCGGCCAGTAATTTGCAAGAGTGGTGATTACTCTCAACTTGTCTTCCTAGCCGATGTGCTCCTGTCTTGTCGCTGTCCTGTCCTCAACCAAGCTGAGCTTCTCCTTCGGCCGCTCCTCCCCTGCTCGCTTTCGATCTCATTCTAGGTGGAGAAAGTAAAACCATAGTCAGCTGCCAAAGTTCGGTCCAACAATCAAGGTATCCAGGGAACACAACTCCTTCAGCTCTCGATGAATAACGTAATAAATTCTTTAGTGAAAGGAGGTACCACGACATTTATAATCCTTCATCTTACCCAATGTCAAATTCCGCGGCTCTCGATGGATCATTCATCGCTTGGCTTCTCGTCTCTTATTCTTGTTTTCAGTGTCGAGGTCCATGAAATCATAGAAGTAAAGTCAAGCTTCCTCTCCATCAAAGACCAGGAAGTCCTTCGCGAAGTTGAACCAAATTGGCCTCGCCAGCCGAGTACCAAAAACTCCTTTGTAGACTTTGCGACCCTTTAATCTAGACTCTTGGTTGACGTACAAAAATTGATGGGTTCTTGCATATTGTTTTCAATGCGTATCTACTCTGCTGCGGTTCAAAAAAAGACTGGAATTCAAGCTCACGGAGTATCCTGAAATCCCCTCCCATATCTCTGATCCCGACAACGCGAACTTCGTCTTTGATGCTCATTTCCTAAATGTTAATTCTCAATTCCTTTGGCAATTTCGAGAACATGGTGCAACCGAGTTTGGCGTCTTGTGTAACAAATGTTGGAGGAGCTAACGGAGTCGAATTGGAGACCATTTGAGGGGGTCGAATTTGCTGAGATGGTGCGGCGGCTGTTGATGTCTGATAAAATATCGAGTTTGCTTCGAAGACATTTTGAACGGAGGGTTGACCCTAATAGGACGAAAAATATTCGATCACCAATGATGGGGGTCGGAGAAGAGAGGTAGAGGTCCAAGAGCTTTCTCGGGGGGGGTCGAAGAGGTTGTTGTGAGGAATTTGTTGAAGGAAGGTGGCCGGCTTCTTGAAGATATCTGCAGATTGACAAGACGACGTTATTCTGATTAACACGGAAAAAAACAGGAAAAAAATTTTCTGCTAGGGAGATAATAAAGAAACTATAATGTACCAAGGCAGAAGCGATGGTACATCACAGAGACTCACCAATATCACGTGACTCGACCCCCCTTTTCATTACCAGTCTTGCTGACAGCTTAATCATCACACCAATCTATTCATCATTACTCTAATCACTTTTAGATAACGAAGTATGTTCGTAGAGAACTCAGAATTGAAAGTGAAGGCCCGGTGAAAAAATTTTGTTTCCTTTGCTACGCGCAACTCGCTCAAAGTCATCGCTAGAAAGAGTCCGTCCTCTCTTTAATTCAAATTCCGTTTACGATGTACTAGCAAAGTAAAGTGCAGGGACGGTAGTCTAACAGTACGAAGAAACTTCCCGTCCTCCCAGGAGCTCGCATCCTCCCTAGCGTTCCCTGTCATGCTATTGGGACCCTGCAGCGCAGCCGCCTATTGCGAGTGTGGATTAGGGAAGGGATTTCTGTTGTCCGTTAGTATAAGCCTAATCTAATAGTGAAATCTTGTCCTCGTGCCAGGACTCGGTGATCCATAGCTTGCTTGGTTTTGAATAGAAGCTTCGGGACCTGGCCTTTATCACCGTCGAGCTATTTTTACTAGCTTCCAAGTTCTGCTTTAGCAGAGGATGCCCAACCAGAAGTATAACGAGGATGGGCAGTATGGGACATAGCCATCGACTCTAAATTGGGAAATGTTGACAGAGCCTGCACCAAAGGATAATGGCTTGCCCAAAATTCCTGAAACATGAAGTGGTGTATCGCCTCCCGAACGAGTTTCGTTCCGTGCTCCTGTTCCTTTGTATGTTGGTCCAGTCTTTTCCAAACCAGCTCATCACGTGGACTCAAGAGCGTGAATTCTCAAGGTGTCTAGTTTAGGGTGGAAGTATATGGGCATGCTAAGCAGCGTACCCCCAAAGGTTTCTTGTATTCGTGGAGAGCAACGTTTCTCGAATTAGCACGGTAAAATCCCCAAATGACACGAGGGAGATGAAAGCTTCGGAGTAGTCTTGCTCCTTAGACGTGTGGACAAAGTAAGGATGTCGCCTCCCTAACTAGCTCCTAGGCAGCAAATTATTATGAGAACGAGGCATAGGAGCCAACATGGCACAACAGGTGTAATGAAGCATAATAGAGAGATCAAGCCGACATTGACGGTTTTCTTGAAGGCACTCCAATTTAGAGGATTTTCGGGATCATTTGGGCCGTCCCACCAAATGATGTTTGGATCGTCTGGCTTTCGAAGGTTGGAGTTCCACTGTAACGGGGAGCTGGTTTAGACCATTTCTCGACGTCGAGGACCGGATGGTCCGAGTCCTGTGAATTGGTATGCAGACGAGGTAAACGAAAGGATGGCATAATTAAAGTATTCAGATTATTAAGAATGCTGATTTAGAGAATTGTTCATTTCTGAATTTGTATCTTCATTAGGCTCGCCCCTATTATAACTGTTGACAGTCGTGAGATATCGGGATGACGCAACGATTCTGTAAGTCCAGAAAAATTGTCTGATCAGGCTATTTTTACAGCACGAAAATCCAATCAATCAAAGAAGGAGGCGGGTACTCATTCACCCTGAGAGAATTGCGCAATGGTGTGGTGTTTTCTTGATCAGCCCACAGCATCACGTGTCTGTAGGGCAAACCCATCAGCAACCAGACCAGTGACATTGGCCAACATTCTGGTAACCGCATTTGGTTTATTGCATTCAATTTCATCTTCATGATCGGATGACAAGTTGCATATCGAGAACGGGATCGGGTTTGTCCTGAGTCGGTCTCAGGCATCCCGAGCAGAAGTCCTGTGGAAAGGTTCACTTGAACTCAGCTGAGGCCATAGGGACCTGTGATCAGTCTCACCAAAGTTTGTTCCTCAAAACGTGATGCACTTACTTGAATTTGACTCTCGGGTATCAAGTTGATGCTGGTAAAGCCTCGAGTATACGAGAGGATGTCGAGGAGAGGTGTTCGCAATTGAGCTACCGTTCCCATTTGTGCCATGAAACGCCGAGAAAGGTATCAACGGAATTCGAGACCACCGTAGGAGAGCGAGCAACACCTAAAAGGCCCGTTTTTCGTTTTTCGGTAGCGGTGCGAGCAGGTTTGTACTGCTAGGTGATGCCCACACTTAACAGGATCACCGACAGCAAGATGCAAGAGACTTTGGTAGAGCAAACGCAGGTTGGTACGAAGACTTTACCCGAACACCTTAAGTACCCCAGACCTCGTGTATCAGGACAGGGAGACCACCCCACATTCGTCACAGGCTCAACTGAAGCCAACCAACGGTATGTATTTCCCTAGCCAGACACGACCGAAAACCCTAATTTTTGAAATAGGATTAATGGTAATAGCATCGGAGCCACACAGAGTTTCTACAGACGAGGATTCTAAGAAGGTTGAGCTATTGTTTGAAGAAGAAATGGATGGTAGTGAAGGCAGAGAGGAAGAACTCTTCCGTTGAAACCTGGCAAGGCTGCTCGCAACGCTAACCTAGCGTATAGCTGGATCAGCGGGGCTTCAGGGCAACGAGGGCCAAAAGGTTGATATAGGAATTAGGAAAGTTCGAGGGTAATATATGCGATACTTAAATTAAGCCTCAGAATTAATTAAGATAAAGCGCCGAATTAATTAGATCGCGATATACTCGCAACAAAGTAGTATCTTTACGGGTATTTAGGGGGGCTTTTGGGGGGGGGGGGGGGATAGCGATATGGTCGCGGTCGCCGTGGTCTGAAAATCGTAATTTCACTTTAGCCGATTTGTAAGGGGTTTTGCACTAATTAGGGCTATTTTGCTGCATAATTATTGTACCTTAGAGTTTTTGTTTGAATAATTGATCATATGACGAAAACCAAGGCCAACGATAGCGATATTATCCCTTCGTCCACTGAGACATGGTCCGTACTAACGGCCGCATCCTGCGGATAGCCTGATTGGAGGAGATGGTTGTATTCTTACCTAACAAGGGATATTCGTGTGCGGCCGCTAGTACGGACCATGTCTCACCAGATGAAGGGATAGCTTCATAATTCCTATTCATAATTCCTATTCATTAATTGGCCAGCTGAATGCGGAGGGTGGCGAGGGGTTGTCGCAGTTTTGGCCGGGCAACGACCCACCAACTCAACCTCAAACTTTTCTCTCCACACTTCACTCCATTCAAACCCCAGGAGTGCACTTGCGGGAGACAAGTGCCGGTCTTCTAACTTTGGAACCTTTGCGCAGCACATGGGCTTGCGCGTCTTTATCAACGACGATATGTCAATTCTTTCAACTAGTGGCAGGTCACTCGAGTGCGCCGAGAGGAAGTTAACGTTGCAGTGCTGAGAAAGCATAAACGACACTGCTACCCTAGAGCAAAACGATCTCGAGGTTTGAGAACGTCGTTCGAGGAGTCTCTTCGACTTCTTCTCAGGCATACAGCAGACAGCGCGAATTTTTATTCCCGAATTGTTTGGATGAAGTTATCCAAGGTGTCGCGTGTCGAGCTCTGGTTTACGGTTGTTGTTTTGACCCCTCCCACGATCCAACTCGCTGCTGGGACATGCTCACCTTCCCCGAGTTCAAGTATGAGCTCGGAGAGATCACGAGTCATGCCAGAATCAGGCCATAGTGTCTCTAGGAAACTCTATTGCCACGTTCCAGAGACATCCTCAACATCCGATACGGCGAGTATGGTTCTCATTGGCTTTGACCCCTGAAATGTCATGGATCCCAAAGTTTCTTTATGGCCGAATGGTGAAAGTATCTGGAAGCCTGAACAGCTGTCTCTGAGGATACATCCCATGAAACGGGCCGCGACTCGAGGCTTTGCTTCGCGCTGGTAAGCTTTCCATCGTCTAATATCTGATGTTTGAAGGTATTTCGAGGCTGTTTTCCTGGGGCTCTTATAACTAGGTGCACTCATCCATTCCTTTCGATTCTAGATCAGCATCCGCTCATCGAGCGTCGCCCACGCCATCGACTGCAGTTGCAACTTATCAGAACGGGAATGAAGAGCTTGGATTGAGTCCAGGCTATATCTCATCATGAATTATATCGCCGCCAAGATCACCGCGATCAAGCAAGATGTCAATCTGAGCAGAGTCGGCGTGGGAGTTGTTCTGGGTGCGAGAGGAGTTCGTGCAGGCGCGGGGAGATATTTCAGCAACAAAGTACCGATCGTACAATGGATAACGGGATATGTGCCAAAATGGCTCATCGGGGATGCAATTGCAGGGTCGTCAGTTGGGATGCTTCTAATTCCACAAGCAGTGATGTATTCAACCCTCGCTGGACTGCCGGTCCAGCAAGCACTCCTTGCAAGCTGGTTGCCAGGGCTCATCTATGCCATTATGGGAAGTACCAAAGGTATAGAAAGTGAGCAAACCAAATATCTATAGCTAACTTGTGCCCAGATATTAGCACCGGACCAACATCGACCACTGCACTCCTTACCGGGCAGATTATCCTCTCCTTGGCCCCATCTAAGGTTTCCCCACCACTCGTCGCTGCTGTTCTGTCATTCTGTATCGGAATGTGGTCAATGATGCTGGGACTTCTGAATTTTGGATTCATCTTCGATCTCCTCTCTCTGCCGATGATTCTGGGGCTCCTGGTCGCTGTTGCCAATGTAGTAATTGTCACACAGCTTCCGGCAGTTCTTGGCTTGACAGGTACCAGTCTTGTATTTTCTCAGATGATGCCAGAGATCATCCAAAAGTTGGGCCAAACAAAACCTGCCTCGATCGGTCTTGCGGCCGCATCCATCGTCCTGCTGGCAATGCTTCGGTTCGTCGGGAAGAAATGGGGCCATAAAAATGAGATGGTGAGGATCCTCGCCATCCAGCGAAATCTCCTCATCATCAGCATCTTCACTGCGGCCAGCTTCTTCATCAACAAAGATCTGAAGCAGCCTGTTTGGCATATTATTGGTCCCATCAAAACAGAGCTGCCAATGCCTCAGATCCCTCTCATGACTCTTGCTCAAAGGCTATTCGTCCCAAGCCTTACACTCACCATCACTATCATGTTGGAGCATGTCGCTTTTGCGAAAGCATTTGGACGAAAGAATGGATACGCCATCGACTCGAGTCAGGAAATGTTCTACCTAGGATTCGTCAACTTCATCACCTCCTTGTTCGGTGGAATGCCTGTGGGGGGAGGCGACCTACCTCGTGCAGCAGCCAACTCAGATTCTGGAGTCAAAAGTCCTCTCGGCGGAATATTTACCTCCGTCACTGTTCTTGGCGGCATGTATGTAGGCAGCGGCTTCCTCCAATATATCCCAATGCCGGTCATTGCGGGCGTCATTCTTGTCGCAACAATCGGTCAATTGCCCCCATTGGCCGCCATTAAAAAACTCTGGAGGGTTTCGTTCACAGACTTCGGCACCTTTTTCATGACATTCAACATCGTCATACTGATGGGCAATACAATCGGTATCTCCGTAGGTCTGGGCATCATGGTCTCCTACACCATCCTCCGCATCATGTTCTCACGCCCAAGTGCCATCTTAAAAGCCGACCTCGAATGCAGATATAAATCCCTCACTCCACCGTGGTTGGCAAAAGATGACCCCATCCCCCCTGGAACCCAAGTCATGAGTCTAGAAACAGACGTCATTTTCGCCAACGCCGAGAGGATCAAGAGACACGTCATCGATACGACGTTAACCTATCAATTCGGCATACCAATGACCGAAAACGAGGATCTTCAACGAGCATGGAACTACAAACGTGAGAAGCACATCGGGCGTCTGCGCCGCCTCGCCGGAGTCAGTAACACAGATATATTTATTCCTCGTCTCCGCGTCCTCGTGCTCGATCTCTCCGCTACATCTTTCATCGATGCTTCCGGTATGCAGGCATTTGAAGATATCAAGACCGAAATCTGTTTATACGGTGGTCCTCGCGTTGAGATGCGATTCATGGGGTTGAACAAAGGCGTGCAAAAGAGGTTCAAGCGTGCTGGTTGGAAACTGGGTCCTCCTTATGATGATGACTTAGCATAGGTAGGGGTGTTCCCTCCGCTTGCGACGGATAGTTCTTATTTTTCTGCACTATGTTGACGAAAATGGCATGTCTTAGTTATTTTACTTCATGCTGAGATATATGGGACGAGAGACCAGGTTATGACCATTTTGAGCGCCGGCACGCCACGAGATATGAATGAATGACAATCTACTTAATGTTCTTTTGAATCAAACCAGTTTCCTTCTTCACGAACAAGCTGTCAATTTTAGAGTCAATTGGCATGATCCTTGGAGCGCATGATAAGTCTTTCACTGCAAGTTTGTCGGGTGGACCCTTTGTTCCCTTTATTCCAGCCAGCTGCTTCTCGATTAGGTTCATAACATTACTGACAAAGCATCCGGACGCCAAGCAACCGACAAGGTTTTGTCCGCAAAACACCAACTCCCAAGCTCATGTCCTAGTCCGAATACAACTGTAAGTCCATTACTGTCTGTTGAACATCTACCACGCCACCAGTCTGCCAAAGCCACGAGTGAATGCATCAATGTCGTTCTCCCCATCTTCACAAGAACTGCTTCGTGAAGACTCCTTCCGGATCCCACAACTCCTTCAAAACCCTCAACCTCTTGACCGTTCCCTGTCCTCGAAAGCGTCTGTCAAGGTCCTTGCCCCGCCAGTGGTTTGGAAACAGTGCCTTCTCAGACTTCTGCAGATCTGCCTGGCACATGTCGAAATACTCTTTCGAGAGTTCAACCGCAGCATTATGTGAAGCCTCGTCTTCAGCACTGATTAAATGCATGCTTCAATTCGTCAGTTCTTCTGTTCACTGCAATCAAGACACGAGAAAGTGGGGGTTTGCCTACCTCCAGACCCCCATATCCCTATGGCTCCACGCACTAGTCCCTTCCTTTATCTTCACCCCATCCAGCGCAAACCAATTCATTATAAAAGCGCATCCCTTCGCACCCGGAACTTCCTTGTCGATCTTCTCCCACAACTCCAAACTTTTCTCAAACTTCTTCCCATCAAACTCCTTCATACCGCACGAATGTAGAGTCTTGATTCCGCCATGACCGGCAAGCATATCAGCCGAATCCGTCATATTGCCCCACGGTACGACTTTCTTGATCTGTTGAGCCGGATCAAGTTCCAAGAGGGGAGCCATGATCTTCTCTGCTTCGTCTTCGGGCCGAAAATGTATGAGGCTGACCATGATACCTGGCTGCTCCATCCATCCCATCAGCGTTCTTCCCCCAAAATCAAGCTGAGAGTGGTGGGCGAAATACATACCTTCCGAAAACCAGGCATCGCCATAACCATCGCCAACCCAGGACTCCTAACCACCTGTTCCCCCTTGCTAACCTCCTCTAATGCCAGCGCTACTTCCTTCATCTTATCCGTCGTAAAGACCATCGTCCAGCTCAGTGGTCCTTCCTCCTCCTTCAACGGATACATCTTCATCGTGACTTCAGTAACAACACCGAAAAACTGTCCCGCACCCTTGATCGCCCAAAGCAGCTCTTCATTCTCCTCTTCACTGCACACGACGGTCCCCTCTTCCGGGTACGCCGTAACCACCCTAGCACTAACCAAACTATCAACACCCATTCCATACAAACCATTTAGATAACTGCTTCCACCACCGAGCAGGAAACCAACGCAAGAGACTTTCGCCGACCCGGGTGATTGGATGCAGAAACCGGCTTCTTGAACGGCGACGTTGATGGTCTTGGAGAGCACGCCTGGCTGGATTGTTGCGGTTTGGTTTTGCGTGTCCAGGGAGAAGTTGGAGAGGAGCGAGAGGTCGATGATCCATCCTCCAGACGAGATGGTGGACCAAGGACTGTTGCCGCCGGACTTGATGATGATTGGGATTTTGGCTTTGACGGCTTTGTAGACCTGCAAAGCGTGTGTTAGTGTTGGTAAAAGGGAGAAGGGACAGGGGACAGGGGGTGGTACGATTTTCTCAACGTCGAGTTCGGATGCGGGCTGCAAAATTGCGGTCGGTGTTTGCTTGTTGACGTCTGTCCAACGGGACATGGAGTCTTTGAATGCTGTTAACTCGGGATTTGTAAAAATGTGAGCTCCGTCGGATAGGACGCCTCCGAGCTGCAAGGCCATAGCCTGTGAAACGCCTGCGTTCATCCTGACACTCTTCCGATCTCGATCTCGCGGAAGGGAGGAGTGGTGATTATTTGGTGAAACTCGGGATTTGAGAAAGAAAATTTGCGAGCATATGAATTCGAGATCGGGAGTGCCGTGCGGCCGACTTATATCACTTTTAAAGGAGGTATGTGAGGAGGGGGTTAGTAGCGCTGATGGTGTAACAATGTAGCGCTGATCTCAGATTACGGACTTGTGAGATCTGCCGCCGCACTTTGTCCGCTGCTCGTATTTCAGATGCACCCCGCCTTTGGATGAATAAGCTGAGGGCGATGATGGGAGATCATTGAAGGGATCATATGCCGTGTGCAGTTAACGTTTGGGTGGTATACCTTTCTAATATCAGGGCCGCCACAGGTGTCGGTTGCCTTTCCCCACAAGGTTCATACAGGGCTCGGCCAGGGAGACACCCTGAAATCAAGCACCAAGCGAAGCCCCTTTTCAGGGGATGTCGCTTAATGTAACATCTCCAGATTGAGAACGATAGGAGGTGAGAGGAACGTAGACTTCCCCAATTATTCAGGTAACATCGCCATAAATAAATTCGAGCCTTTTTCTCTTTCTTCATTTTCTAAAAGAAAATGAAGTATGATCGATAAGCATCAGCTCCCCTCGGGGCAGGCGGAACCTTCCTGCGCAGCCTAGCTGGATACGGAAACTGGTCAGTCTGTTTGCATAAGTTGATACTTACAAGACCCACCGAGAACTCTTCCATTGATACGGAAATGAGGAAAGTTGGCATAACAGCCATATCAAAGTATATCTATTATGAACTGCCCCTCTTAAGCGTCATTCTCAAATTCAAGAGGTTTGGTCCGCGATTGCAGGTCCAAGGCGCTTCCCGAATCATTCCCTTTGGTGTCCTTCGACTTTATAAGCTTGATATACTTTTCAGGAATCAGTTTTGACTCCTCTTGCCACTCCTTCGAATACCCCTCCACCTTCTCCGCACCGGTAACCTCCGCCTGATTATTCAACCATCCCGCCAACTCATCGACATACAGCACCGACGTGCCTTTCAAATCATGAATCCCTCTTCCAGCTCCTTTTTGCTTCACTCTTTCCTTATATTCTGCTTGCATCTCTTCTTTTGATGGAACACATGCTCGGCCAGAAAATACTGCTGCTACAGCGATAGCTTGGAATTCGAAGAACGTGAACGTGGCGGTGTAGAACGGTATTCCGACAAATGCGAGCGTGGGATCCGGAATGTAGAAGATGTCTTTGTGGAGGTTGTGTATTTGTGTGCCGTCTGTTACGAGGACTGTGTCGATGGCTTGCTCAGGAGTTGCGGAGTCGTCGTGCAAATCTCGTAAAAATGGTAGGGAGAAGTGGTAGCCGGTGCAGATTACGACTCGATCGATGCCAGTCAGAACGGTTCCGTCAACAAGTTTTACGGATCCAGGCCTGTCTTGGTCTTTGGAAGGGTGTTGGAAAGAAGCGATGCCCGCAACCCGTTCGGTTTCTGGGGAAAGCATGACTTTTGGGACATCAAAAGGCCCGCCACGAGAGGATTGATAGATTTTCTGGGCCATTTGCGAGATTTCTCTTCCAATGTCCATTGAGGACACTCCGGCTCCGATAAGAAGCACGGTCTGACTTTTATGTCAGTCTCGAAGTTGATATCAAGTCCCGGTTCTCACCTGATCTTTGAAGTCTTCTGGTCTTCTGTATGCTTTCGAGTGTGAGACTCTTTCCGGCCATCTACTCTTCCATTCTTTCAACCCGGGAATATCAGGTACATTTGGGCTGTGGTAATGTCCAGAAGCTACCACGACCAAATCAAACCCCTGTATTAAGTCAACCTCTCTGCGCCTGTTTGGATACTAACCCTCACCTCAAACTCATTTGCATGCTTTCCTTTTCTCGGTCCATCCCGAATCAATGTCGTCGAATTGACCCACCACTTTCCATTTATCTTTTGAAGTTTCTCAACTCGAGTGTTGTACCTTATCAACGTTTCAACCCTAAAATATTTTGAGTAGGACTGGAGGTACCCCTGTTTTGCACGGACATTGACAAAGTCTGGTGTTCCTTCTTTCCAAGGGAAGCCTTTCAACTGTTGCAACTTTGTTGAGACGTTGTTTGTTAGTCCGGAATATGCTGGTCTGACAGAATCAACATAGTTCCCGCAAAATAGTAGCACGAAAACATACCCAGGAGGCGCAAATCTCAATTCTTCCTCTTCGCTCCAGTATCCTCTCTCTCCATCGATACTTTTCGCCCCATTCACAACTCCACTTCTCTCCCCTTTCCCTTCAACAACAAAATCCGCGATCGAAGGGGTAACGGAAGGATAATTTGGCTCAATTGGTTTCCGCTCATCATAAACCCTAAAATCATCAACTTCACACTCCCCCCCACCTCCTGGGCGTCAAACTAACCAATTCCCACCCGCTTGCCTTGATCTCTCGAATACCACAACTTCTAACCCGGACTCTTTGAGATGCTTCGCACCGACAATACCGCTTACGCCTGCTCCTATAACTGCGACACGCTTCTGGTGAGAGCCCATTTTCCAAGGACGAAATCGTCAATTCTTAAATATACGAACTACAGGAATTGAAAAAGGCAATTCTTTCTGAGTTATACTTTGTCGTGAGGTAATGTCCTGTGTAACAGTTAGTCAGACTTTAGCTTACCAGCGCCACCATACGGGCGACCAAATATTAAAGTCCGCCACGCTTGCCTGTCACTTTTTGAGTTTGCACTCACTTTCCCTTCATAAAAACCCTCAAAATAGGCATAATCTGTTTAGGAAATCGATTGAAGCGTGAATATAATTATGGGAATGGCGCGCAGATAACGATATAGATAGGAACTGGATTCGTTATAGAGGCAACTTATTTCGCCATTTCTCGCCTCACTGTTTTGGCGAATGGGAGGAGGGAACGGGACCGATTAGGTGGGTATGCGGATGGCGGCTGATGTGCTGACAGATGGGATGCAAGAGTAGCCTTATGATCGGTAATGGGCTAACTATTATTAGGGCTAGACGATGGAGGGTGCAGAAAAGCCGTGAGTTTGTTGCCCTTTCCATTTGAGTACACTCAGTTGTGGGCACGATTCAAACACATGGTGGAACCGCTCTCGGTATGTCCGAGGAAGTTTCTAAACTTCAAATTTCTGCACTTTATTTATTTGATTTCGAAATTTCTATTTACCGGCATGACACGTTCATATTGTTTGTTTACTAATAGTTAAGTAGGAGAGGGCGAGGGATCCATGTCGAGATGCTCCCAGGTCTGTGTTCTCCAATGAGAACGTCCGCCATCTATACGTGATTAGCATCTCCAGCTCGACTCAAAAAAGGCTTTCACAAACCATTTCTGCCACAGCATAAACATTAGCCTGAAAATGCGCACCCAACGGATTAGGGAGGATGAGGGAATCAACTGCAATCACGCCCTCCAGCCCTTTCACCCAACACTTAGAATCAACCACCAACCACATAGCCCACGTCCCACTTCCATGACGCAAACTCCTCGGCGCATAAATAATCTTATGTTCATCGATTCGTCCGACAAATTATTCCGTATTGACTCATCGACCCCATATTCCCTTGCACCATATTTCTACTCTGCTGGTCCCTGCATTATTCAAATCGTCGGTTGACCGAATGTGTAAAGAAGTTGCCTCTCCAGATCGTTTGAGAAGAGATTAGGATCTAGGATTGGTGGGTCTTGAGAGTTCGAGGAGCGGAGTTTGAGAGTACCCACCTCAAAGTCCTCAGGGAATGGATCACCTGCTGTGACACCACTCATCAATCCGACCCGAAAAATCTTGACTTTCTTCCCACGCGCCTTCTTGAAGTTAGTGATAGTGATCCCGGAACCGTCAGGCGATTTACTTTATGCAGACGCAGTCTTATTGGGAATACGGAAGAGGCGTGCGGTGTGAAACGATGACCAAGACGAAAAAGTTGGGTGTGACCTTCTCCATACTCCTCGACCGTTCGTGGCTGTATTAAAGCTCCCTTCCCTATACGCCTTCGAGACTCGACGCTAACCAAACGTGTCACAAAAGTCGTAAAGCGTCCTTTCTTGGGGACGCCAACTTTCCTAATCCTGCAGAGAAGTACGTGGAAGGAATGATGATCGAGCTCTTCCAAGCCCTGTACGAGCGATACTCGAGACTAGCTTTATCATTCCCATCAGATCGGCCTGTCGCTATTAAAGGGCTCGAGGCCAGATTCCTCAACACCTTCGATACGACTGGTGGATTAGGGGTTTTCGACAGGTACTTGCACCGCTGTCTGCTCTGGCAGCGATCCGCCGACGTCCTAAAACGAACCGAGCCGTCCCGTGGTGGCAATCGAGTGCTGCCTTGGTCGTGGATGGCCTACGATGGGTTTATCCGCTACACTACCATTCTCTTCGGCCAAGCTTCCTGGTGCGAAGATATCACATCACCTTTTGCAAGAGCACGACAGCCGGGTGTTCTGGACGACAATCGACGCGAGGCGCGAGGGTGAAGGCAACACTGCACGAATACTCGAGCTAGAAGCGCCAGTTTGGAAAATTGTAGAGACACAAGGTGGACAGATGATCTTGGACGACCAGCCTCGCGCCATAACTCAACCTCTCCAGTGCGTCCTCGTTGGAAGGAGCAAGGTAGAACCCCTGCAGGCGCATTACGTCTTGCTGGTCCAGTTTGCCGCCAGTGGCGAGGAGGGCCAAGCCTATGAGAGGGTTGAGAGTAAGCATCCTGGGACGGCGCCAGATAGCTCTCGATGGACTTCACAAACGATCCAGGATACGATGACAGTAGGATAGCGAATTTATGTTGTCAAGGGACGCGGTACAGGTTTGCTAGTTTTTGCAATTTTGAAGGAGCGTATTCTTTTAGATGGGAACAGAGACAAAGACAGAGTCGGCCAAGTTGCCACACGTTGGCACACGAGAGTAGACATGAAACATTAGGAAATAATAGACGCACTAGCTTTGCTAGTTGTTATCGGGACCAAAACTTTGCCTGTAACCCATAAGCCATATCTTCATGTGTACTTCCGCGAGTAACTGGATTTCACATGACGAACACCGTCCATTCGATGTTGCAGGAACTGCCCGATATCGATAGCAGAGTCTAAACTCGCTCAATATTGTCAACTTTGGGTTCTAAACCGACAATGTTAGGCAGGTATCATCGAACCACTGATCCGAGTGCAACAGAAATGCATTTGAGGACGGCTCGGGTAAAGTTTGCTTGGGTGATTAGGCCACAGCGAGTTCAGCCCCAAAATACAAGCAGAAAATATCTCCTCCAGTATAACTGCCATTGATATTCCACCCATTAACAAGCTGCAGTTGGCCAATTAAGGTTCTCTCGGCAGAGTCGCTTCCGATAGGGGTGAGGTCAGCTTACAGATGCTTTAATTTGTAGGGCTTAGATCCTGCTGATTATCCTCGCTCTAGAATTCTAAACTAGACCGAGTTTGACTTCTTTGGGTGTAGATTTCCGGCATTGTTGGGCCTATTACCCCCCGTGTCTCCAGGTCGGCGTCCAAATTCCCCGTGCAGATGCTGAAACTCGCTCAGAACACTTCAAAGGAACGACCATGCCTTGAGAGGTAACCCAAGTTTGTTCCCATTCAAAAGAAAACTAAATACCCTCGGATTACGTTAGTTAGATCATTCATCGTCAGCGATCCGGGCGTCACTCGAAGTTTTTGAAGTGTCTTGCGGAGAGTTCGGTGCTAAGCGAACATGGTATGAGCGAAGGGCTCAAGACAACGTAATTTCATTCTTGATTCCAATACAACTAAATCCAGACTAGACGAGGTTCGCCCAAAGTAAATGAAATATTCAGCAGCCTCTGGTTGTATCAGGCTCGTCTCTTCCCCCTAGTATCAGACCCCGCTGTTCATCCTTGAAGAGATGCACGCCTCACGATGAACCAATGCCGTTCACCTCAGGTCCCCTGGGCTACCCAAAGTCATCAGTATCATAAATAACGCCATGGAGAGCTGAAGGAGGTGAAAAGTTCATCTTACAGGGATCGCTCGGCTGCGGCCGCGGCTGCGTTTGTGGAGGAGGAGGAGGACTTGGTGGAGTTTCGTCTGCCATGAGAGCAGACCAGAACGTATTCCACCACAACACTTCGCCTTCCAGGTTCAGAAGATGAATTATGCCACAGCTCTGTGTAAAAAGTTCCGAGAAATCCTTTTCAGGGGATTTCTATATTCTGGTCAGTAAATGTAGAGAGCTCGAGGAAGAAGTAAGAGCTCGGTTGGTACACACAACTGCGTTTTCCAAAAGATGCAATTTGGCTGAGATTAGACGCCGAAAAGGCAAAGCTGGGAAAGTAGAATGCGGAATTCTCCATTATGTATACATCTCCTTCATGTCCTGCGCGTAAACCTCAATCACGCCTTCTCCTTGCACGCACCAGTGCCGCGTGTTAGGTCTTGCGCGTATAGCTTAATTCGTTAAATTGCATAAACCAAAATACCACATTTGAAAGTTCGCGGATAAAAGTTTGAAAACCCGGGAATGGTGCTTCCCCCCTCTCATCGGATTCGTATGGTCTGTCTGCAGGTATTTCGTGTCTTGACAAGACTGGAAAGTTTGAAGAGACAACAAACACCGATCCGCAAGAAAGATTATCGTGAAGTGGCAATCATGGCCCGACAATTCTTCCGAGTCCTAAAAGAAAGTTTTGCGCCTGATCGAATGAACCGTTTAAAAATAGGGTGATGCCGTGATGTCCAGCAAAGCGGCCCAATAATAGTTCCTCCCTCATCGCATTCGAGTTTTCAGATTATACTCCCTTCCCTTCACAAGTGAGGCGAACGCTTTGTGCAGCTTTTCAAACGAAAAGTAAGGCGTTCGAAGGATGAGTGGAGGGCAAAGGATCTCCTTATCATGAAGGATTGACCATCGCCACCCAAGACCACCTAACGCCCATCTCGTTTACTATGCCACAGCTGTGGCACACTCGGGGCATCGTGGTGTCTTTTTAAGCGGGGGCAAAGAAAGATGGGGTGGCGTAGAAAGCGGACATTGGGCGTCGAGCTCCTCAGGCGTTAATGAGACGAAGTGAAGTGTCCGCCATGAAAGCAGCCTCTTGGGTAGGGGTGAGTAACTCATCATTTCTCCTGAGCCTTCTGCTCCAATACACGATGTAAGGCAACTGCAGCCTCGCTCAAGCTTCAGCACCCGTGGACAACACAACTGTATGATGACGCGCAGACTCAACCGCCTCGAACCAACAAATGTCTCATGAGATCGACCCAGCATACCGGTATTTAATTGGTCACATGACGCTTAATACTCGAATACTGCTGGCTCAATTGAGATAAGAATTATGGCGTCCAGATCGCTGCGGGTAGTTCTTTCATTCGACTCCGCTTGACAGCTTTTGCCCATTAAAGAAAAATGAATACTGATCTTGGGTTGTGGCGTGCTGATGCAGGGAAATCATCAAATGCACAATGTTTGTTTTAGGAAGCATCCAATCGCAGGATCGGTGATGCTCACAAGGGGCGGCCTGAGCTATCGAGATAAAGACACCCACTCCCCAGCGTGGCGCACCCTCCGTTTCTCGGTTGGGCACGAGTCGCATCATGAATAAGGAACAACACGCTTCTGTTGGCTGTGGAATCGGTTTGGGCACTTAGATTCGGGTTCCTACAGTTGCCGCCCACGTTTGACACGACCGTGACTTCGTTGGCCATTGCGCGCATGGTGTTGGCGGAGCGAGATGGGAGGCACTGTGCAGCGAGTATCACTATTTTTGCAGTGGGAAGTTTCTCAATTATTCAGATAACCGCGAAGCGGGGTTGGAACTGCTGTATATTGCAGAAACAGTCCATCCCTCTCGTCAAGGCCAAGCTGCACTTCATCACATAACTATTCCGTCTTTCGATACGTTTGATACCACGGTTATGTCCTCGAAGCAAACCTCACTGCCAAACTACGGTGTGCCCGATGTAGAGATCGAGAGTCTCCTCGGACAGGGTCGGAGCTATGACGAATGGAAAGTCAGATTGAAGAATCATGGCTACGGTAAACTGTGGAACGAAAATCTCAAGAACATCATCATCAAAAGAGAGTTTGAGAAATTCAAAACTGAGATTTTGCGTTTGCAAGCTGAGCCGAACGAATCTCCAAGTGGCAAAGACGTTCAGAAAACCAATTCTTTGGAGAGTATCTTGAAACGATTGCAAGGCCAGGATTGGGCCAACGGGAAACCTAACGAGAAGGTACAAAGAATGCGGGATAGGAGGCTCCTTGGAAAGGACGCAAAGTGAGTCCCCAATAAAAGCCTCTTCACAGGACTTTGAATGGCTGCTAACAGACTTTTCAAGGATAAGAGCTTTGCAAAAGTATGTCAAAGAGTGGAAAGAAATTGAATCTTCTGGCGCATCTTCGAATCTAGACAGGGAGAAGCCTGTTTCTGCCTACCGATCCACGAACTCTGGGCCGAGCCCAGCCTCCACTCCGTCTTCAATGCAGCAGGTATATGGCGGTACCCAGCCTACCATGCAGAATACAGTCTGGGATTACCAAAGTAGCGAGCCATCAACATACACTTCTACTTGTCAACTTGGCTCTGAAAAGTACAACTCCCAACCTTTCACCTCTCAATCCTCTAATACATTCACTTCCACCTCCGCGTCCGCCGCAAAGTATCCCACCAAATCATCTGGTGATTACCAACTGAGCGCAGCATGGAGCTCCCCTCCTGAAGCTCGTGAAACTCCTCTGGCGGCCACCACCGCCTCCCCGTCCACCAACTCCATGGGTGGTTACCAGAGCAGCACAGCATGGAGCACCACTCCTGAAACCCGTGCAACCCCCCAGGTGACCACGAACACCACCAACTTCCCAGACGGCACATATCCTGCCGCATCAACACAAGGGTATAATGCGGAGGCTCAGCCGTATTGGGATGGGTACCAGACTCGGTGGAGTTGAGCGGTACGCAAATATCTTTTGCATGAATTTTCTTCGCAGCTAACGATTTCATGTGCTCAGAAGGCACTCCTTGGCTGAAGTTTGATTTGGGAATTGAAAACTAAAAGCTATTTACGTTTTGATAAGAAAACATGAGAGATAGGGGCATTTTTATCAAGTTTGCTGTGGAAATTAGACCAATAGCCTTTGATTTGCGGGAGAATATTCTTTAAGCTTTATCTTTGAACAATGGTAACTCTTTGAGACAGGGTATTTGAAAGATTACAAAGGGGTTGCCTTGGATTGAAATCATGAACTCATTTACGAACGCTGCAACCCCCGCACTTGACGCGGCTTCAATAAAAGACAGTACACTCCAGCCACTTCTAGCAAACTCTGCTTCGATGAACGTGTCACATGATGAGTTCGCGGCACACACTTACTCACCGACCTGTGGCTTCCGTAACTAACACCATTAGCAAGTTGATGGACGTCTAAGATACGGCCTAGGTAATCTCTCAAATGAGAGCAACATACTTTCATTTAGTACAATTACCATCAATCCTCTGCCCAGGAACAAGCCGCTGCAAACTATCTCCCGAAGCAAACAGAAGCATCGAACTCGTATTCTGTTGATACTCTGGCCAGGCGAAGTACCCTTCTTCCGCCGTCCATCGAGCGGGACCACCAGTAGGATTAGATGCGAATGAGAGCCAGAGGGTTGTGACTGGTCATTAACAGGTGGGAAAACAGGAGTTGTACTAGCGTGGGTATTATTTGAAGGAGGACGACTTACCTTCCATTGCATGTGAGACGTTGTACTCAAAACTTGTCGATGGACCGCGGAATTCGTAATGCGTTCCAAAGAGCAGGGGCAGTTCAGCTAGCCCTGGTTATCAGGCTATTCACGCACGGCCACTGTTGGATTAAGAACACTTACAGCTATGATAGGCGCCCATCCAATCAACGGGAGATATGTTTGAGAAATTGCCAGCGTACTGGTAGCGATAGGTGGGAAGACCGACTAGGTTTCGGGTACTGTAGAGATGTGAGAAGATAAGAACGTTTGACTGTGGTAGGATACCTCGTACCGGATCTCTTTGCTAACTGGACAAGCAATAATGCTCTCCGTTGCTGAGAAGAGCGCCGCTGCTCCTGGCCCGTTGGTTGTATAAGGCACGAAGCCAGCACCCTCATTCGCGTTGCTGCCCAAGATCGCAGGCTTTGAGAGGCATCAGCTCATAAAATGAAGACACAAGACGATGCTTACAATTTTGGCCACGAATCCCTTCACGGCTCTGTCGGTGGCATTTGAAAACGCGGTCTTATTGTCTGGGAACGGCGTGAACGAAATCGCAGGCTTCGTCCCGTTGATTCCATAGTTCGAGAGGGCATTCTCTAATGTGGCCGCGGAAACGTTGCGGACACATGAAAGTTCGGTTTGAGCATCCAAGCCACCGCAGCCAACCAGACCTGCGAGGAATGTGAAGTTGGTATGTCCATTGTCGCCGCTTCCTAGGAGACCAGCCGCACCAGAGTCACAGATGAGGCTTGATACTATAGGGTCATCTGGCCAAGCATAACCGTAGATCGAGGTGCTTGCCCCTCCTGCTGACTGACCCCACAAGGTAATGCGTTTGGGGTCGCCTCCAAAGGCGGCGATATTGTCTCGTGTCCATTCAATCCTATATCTCTTTGTCAATAACACGATCAAAAATACTTGCCAGAAGTAACTCACGCTTTCCGCTGATCGAGAAGCCCGGGATTCGCATCAATCAGGCCTTTAGCATTGGGATAGCCGAATACGTTCACCCGATAGCTTCAACACAGTCAACTTCATGGTGCTGACAGAGGAGAGAAGGCATCTCACTTCATGACCACCACAATATGTGACTGAGTTCTTTGAATCCATTTATCAGGAATCTTGTACAATGAGTTGGCCCCTCCACTAGTGAAACCACCTCCGGGGATGTATAGAAACACCGGAAGAGCTTGTTCCTGAGGACTCTCTGTCTTCAAGGCGGGAGCCCAGATATGGAGGTAAAGGCAATCTTCCGACTGTCCTCCATTGATGAGGAATTGTGGAACTTGGGCTGTGTATATGGTCGAGCTATTGCTGAACTGTTGCATACATACTGGTGCGAATGCAGTTGCATTTATCACCCCACCGTTGGCTTTTGCTTGAGGTGGTGCGAATCTCAAATTTCCAATCGGAGGTTCCGCATAGGGAACTCCCAAGAACTGACGTACGAGAGGAGCGCTTTGGTTTATGAAGCCGTGTAGTTCTCCACTGGTTGTCTGGACTATTAATCCATCATTGCATAAAGCAGTTGGTAAGATTAAGCCAACAAAAGCGAGTGAGAAGGTCAACATACTGTCCAAAAACCATTTGTAAGCTTTCAAAATGAACAGTCGGCTCGGATGAAGTTACAGGAGCATGAGAGGGAGTCGGTTTATAACAAAGCCGGAATTTGTGTATGGCCATGAGGGTAGACATGCCGATCACTTGTGCGGGAATGTGGAAAATGGTTTGTCCTGAACCGGATAAAAATACACCCATAAACCTTCCGTCTTGAGAGCTTCTTGACGTCTAACGACATAGCAAAAGTGGGGTTGCTAGCAGTGATATTTCAATTTTGCTAGGGAAACTTGCATACGAAGGCCGACGGCATTAAAAATCGTCCATATTCGCTAGTCAAGGAACACCAATATGTCTTAGTTTTGAAAATTGTGCGTCACAACGCCACCACATTCGTATGCTTTAGTTTGAGCTTGATAGAATAGAAAAGAAGCTCAAGTATCCTTCATTTGTATTTTGGTGACTTTAAAATTATAGGGACGTTTTTCGCGAATTTTTGAATGGGGGGGAATGATTTTTAAGGCTCTCGCTTAGCAATTTAGACGATTTTTTAATGCCGTAGGCCTTCGTAAGTGGGCACAAGCCATTGAGGGGTAACCCCGCAGTATCGGACTTAGATCTCAATAGGGGAACTGTCCACCTAAAGTTGGATTTAAACATGCCAGGTAGGTCACCATGACGGGATGGCGCATGGGATTCATATCTGCCTGTTTTCCGAATTGAATCTTGCGGGAAAGGTGTCTGCCGTGACCCACGTCAAAGTCTATGTGCCAAGCATAGCAACAAAGCTTTGTTAATCTGCTCTGGTAATGAGCCAACCTGTGGATCCTACCGCTTTGCACCGAGGCTCCACTGGAATTGTGGCAAGCTCAATCCCGGGTCGAAATCTATCCCAAGCTTTCTGCGTTACAGCTTCAGCGGCACATCCAAAGCCCAGCGCTGAATGAGTGGGTAACTCCAATGCCTGGGACTAACAAAGTAATGTTTGGCTTTCACATTGGGTCGTAACGAGCTCCTACTTGGGGCTGGCAAGGAAACTCCAAACCCCCAAATTTAATCAACTGGCTTCGTGCATTGGCGTGCTCGCTTTAGGTAATCTTTCTGGAACTTTCAAGACAAATGAAACAGCTTGACAAACTGCCAGCGGCAGGTACCATATCAACTGCGATAATAGTAGCTCAGAGTGCCATTTCCCAGCTCTAAAGACTATGGATTGGTATCACATTTGACCTCCTTGCCGTCCCCATTCAACTCTGGGCTCGTTCGTGTCGGGCTAGTCTTTGTGACATGCGGGGCCAGATATACCGTGCGATGTCTGGGCGAGTTGAGTATGCGATGTAGCCTCTCTATTCTTCCAGTTGGAATGCCTCATATTCGAAGGTTCACGATACGGTCTTCAAGTGGGGCAACCTTCGAGTTAGAGTTGAAGGCTGGTGCTTGAGGAGAGGTGGAAACCGGCTTCAACCTGTGAATCGGAAATTAGCATAGGGCAGAATCCACTTCCCGGATATTATTAAATAAATTTAAAAAATACATATATTATAATAGCCGGTTCCCCTCCCACTGCGCTTCGCTTATAGTCGGGATAGGCAAGTGTCTCGTTTAACCAAGTGTCCTATCGAGAAAATACAGGCCTTAAAATTTATATATAATTCTTACCAAAAAACGCGTCTTGTAATTACGCGTTTGGCCCAACTTGTTAACTAATTTATTATTTAATTTATATACAAAGTTTCCAAAAATAGGTATACCTTTATTTAATTCTACCAGAATTAGGGAAATATCCTGGAAGTATTTCTATTATTTATATACTATAGAAGCTAATTACTACCGTATCTTTAATAAGGCCTGTAAATAGTACTTTGAGAATAATAATAATTTAGTAATTACTATTGCAAGAATATATTATATTAAAGAAGCTTCTTTACAAAAATCGGTATTTTATAAATATAATAAAAAAAGAAACTTCCAAGAACTCTATAATATATATAATAGTAATAATAAGATCCTAAAAGAGATATAAAAGAAAGTAATTCGGTAATATTACTACAAGTAATAGAAGGCTAGTTTAGGTACTATATATTAGATAGTTTAAGCTATAATTACCTATTTAAAGGCTATAAATACTTCTTTTAAATCTAATAATATATCTAATATAATTAGATTAAATCTCTCTTAAAATTACTCTTTTTAGCTAGTTAATTTAGCCTCTAAATATAGAACTATAAGACACTTTATATAATTAAAACGAAGCTAATTATATATATATAATTCGCGTTTTATATAAAAGAAAATATTAGAATATAATTTCGGAAATATTAAAATACTTTAAAAAAGCTTTATATTATAGAAAGAAAAAATATACTAAATAAAAATAAATTAAGAGCCTGTATTAGTTACTTTACTAATAAATATATAATTATATTTATAGAAATAAAGGAATTATATATAGCAAGCTCTAAGAATTATAAATTAGTTATAATAATTAAAACTATTTATATAAATAGATACAAATCTCTTTCTTTATTTATAATTACTTCTAGAAAGAAAATTATAAATAATTAGATATTAGAAAACCTAATTAGTATAAAATATATTAAATATATTTTTATTAGATATATAAATAATAATATAGCTATAAAATACTTTTTCTTAATAAATATAAATCTTATATTTATAAATTCTTTTAATTAAAGGCTAGTAAATATAATATTAAGCTTTTTAGTTCTTCTTTTATTTAATATATATTCTTTAATTATTTAATATTAGTATATTTCGCTTTTAGAAATACTATTATAAAATAGTAATTTATATAGCTTTCTAATCTCTCGATTTTAAATATATAATTATTTTCTTTTTATAATTTTATTTTTATTTATATATAAATAATATAAAAGTATATAATTAAGAATATCTTTAAAATTTCTAGTATATAGCCTATTAATTATAAAGCTAGAATTAAAAAAATATAATTATATAAAAAGAATTAAGGTAAAGAATAGCCTAGATTTTTATTATTATTTATCTACTATAATAAAATATAAAATATAGCTTTAATTCTATATATATTTATAAATTATAATCTTATAAAGTTTTTAAATAATTTAAAAGAAACTTAAAAAATTACTATTAAAAAATTAATATATAATTATAAAAAAGTTATAAATAAGCCCTTTTTATATAAGCTTTTATAAGACTTTGCTTTTTGGGCCTATCTATAAGTATAATAGAGCTTTATATTAAGATTAAAGAAAAGAAAAATAATAATAATAAAAAGGCTCTTTATAAGACTAAAAAGAAACTTGCTATTATTATTAATCGAGCTAAAAATTATTTTAAAAATACTAGTATTTAAGCTTATAAGAATAAAAAAGCTAGATTAGTTAGAATTATAGAGTATTAATTAAAAAACAAACTAATTCTAGTAAAGAATATAATACTAATTTATAAATCTAATAAAAATCCTATAATTATTAAATAAACTTGCTATAAAAAGAACTTTTACTTTAATTTACTAGCTTAAAGTATTTCCTAATAATCTAATCTCTAATTAGCTAAAGATACCAAATACCTTTATTAATAAAGATAAAGATATAGTAATTAATATTATAGAACAGAAATATTAAAAGAAAAATATAAGAAAATATATAAATTCAAGTTTATTTTCTTTTAATTATCCAGACTTATTAGATATAGAAAGTAATACGGGCTTAATTAATAGTATATAAGCAAATACCGATTTTATATAATTCTAGATAGCTTTGTTTTTTTATAAATAGTATTCTTAATTCTATTATAAATATTTTTGATTTTATATATAATATATACTAAAAATTAAATACTAGTTAAAATCTCGATAGAATACTTAATTAAATAAGATACTTACTTATCTCAATTATAAGTAAAGTATAATAAGAAAGGAGCCGGCTATAATACCAAATTTAAAAATTATTAAAATTAATTAAAAATATTTCTAAGTTTTTTTAAACTTTATATAAATAATTTTATTTATTATTTTAAAAAATTAGTATTTTAATTACTTAATAATATATAAAATATAAATCTCTTATATAAAAATACATATATTAATATAAAAGATTTAAAAATCTAAGCTTTATTTTTTTATAGATATTTTAGTATTGGTTTACCAGGAATATATAGTACTATTATATAGGTATAGAAGTGCTATTTATATAAGGTTAGTAAAGTTATTATTTAGAAGTAGGAATTATAATATTATAGTATTAATATGCGATCCCTAAATCTACTAAGCCTAAAGGGGTCTAGTCTACTAGTCGAGTTACTAATAGGATATAAGGTTATATAACTATATCTCGTATTTCATATCCTATTACCTATATCCCGTATCCCGTATCCCGTAACTATATATGTGACTTCCAAAGAAATAGCTATACTAATACTAGAAACTCTCTAAAAAACACAAAAAACAGTATCTTCTTTTAATTATATACAAATTCCCTAATCCGGCCTAGTACCAGATTTTCCCAAACGCTCTATATATCCATATTACTTCTGAGGTTTTGGTTATATATTAAAGGCCGTAGTCTTTTATATATAACTTCCCCTCCTATAATATCCTCTTATCTCATATATTTATTTCCTGTCCTATCTATACTCGACCCATTTCTCTATATCTAATTATATAGTATTTATATTAATTAGATACTTGAGAGTATTTATTAGCTTCGATTTTATTATAGAATCGGCAGGATTTAATTCTTCCTTAATTCATTTGATTTCTATAATCTCTTATTATTTATATACCTAGTAGAGGTATATTATATTAATTATTAGACGCTTTTCTCGAATAGTTCCCAATTTAATAAGACATTTATATAATAACTTCGAATCCGTATAGACTACTAGTAATAGTTCTATTTCTAGTATTCTATTAATTATAGATTTGACTAAAGTATCTATATTAAAGCCGTAAGCCATATTATAGAATTCCGAAGCTAGAACGCTTCTGGTAACTCTCTTATATTTAGTAAAG